GAGTGACAGCAAGACTGCTCCTCTAAGCAAGTGCCTCTGGGGACTCCAGGAGAGGCAGGCTAGGCTGGGGGCCCCTGTGTCCTCAGAGACCCTTTTGCGGCCCTAGTTCGGGCTTGGCCATCGACTTCCTTCCGCAGGAGTCAGTGACCTCCGCAGGCTCCCAGGGTCCCACATAAAAGAAGGGATGGCACGGGCCATCTGAGAGTCCTCCTCACTAAGCACCTACGTGTCTGTGTGCGTGCACGTGTGTGACGCCCCCTCTCAGCTCTGCTCCTTGGGCCTTCAAGCTGCCCACTTCCCTGCCAAAGTGAGGAAGAGGCAGGTGTGCCCTGAGGCTGATGGAGCTTAACCGGCAGCACCCCTCACCGGATCAGGCTCCTTTCACAGCCCTGTACCCAGCGTTGTGTTCACGATGTAGGTCCTCTTTCCTAAAAAGCGGCCTCGTCATTGTGTAGGCGTCAGACCCGTGATAGACGGTCCCACCCTCTGCTCTTTACTCCACCTTTGTTCTCACTGAAGGGGGGTTCTATCCCCTCCCCGCCGCACCCCCATCCCATCCTTGAGCCTGGACCAGACCTGTGACCTACTTTCCCAAGGAAACCCAGCAGAAGTAACGGTGCACCCGTTGCAGACTCAGCCCACGGAGGCCTCCTGGGTTCCCTCTTGCTCCCATTCACCTCTGCCTATGCTGTGATGACACACGGCTAGCGCTAGCATCGGGTGGAAGGAGACGCATGTGGAGCAGAGCCAAGCTGCCCCAGATAGCAGCCAGCCAACCCTCAACACCCAAGGGAGCCCGCCCGAGCCCAGAAGCACCACCCAGATCCAACTGCTCGCTCACAGACTCGCTCTGTGCCCCTGTGTTTAGGGCGGTTCATTGCAGCCTTCTTGTGGCAACAGAAAATGTAGAGAAGACCCTGCCAAACCTAGACCCGCCCCTAGACCCAGCAGCCGCCTCCGCTCGGAACCCCTTTAGCTGCCCCTAGCTTCCGTCCACCCAGCTGCTCTCTGCCCCTTTGACTTCCCCTCCCAGCTCCTCAAGGATGACCCCCACCCACACCTCTTTCTCAGATGTGGTTCAGAAGAGAACAGACCTTGTGTTACCGGTGGGGAGAGGTCCTCGTCTCCCCTCATTGCTCGTGGGAGTGGATTTTTTTTTTTTTACAATATCCCAAGAAAAAGCATTTTCTGAGACTTGTGTGGGAGAATGAGTGGTTTTTATTTGCATGGAATTAACTCCCAGAGTTTCTCATTTCCCTTTGTCCCACCAAGGAAGAGGCGTAACTGTGGCTTCCCTCAGACTGGTGTCCAGGTTTCCAGGGTGCGTGCAGTGCAGTTCAGAGTCAGGCAGGCTTAGCTGGTGCTCCCCCTGCACTCATCAGTCCATTGCATGTGGGTCCTCGTGGTCGTGGGCCATACAGGCGAATGCAAGGAAGCCTAGAGCAACAAGAGCCAACAGTCACAAGAGCCAACTCCTTTGTGTAGGGGATTATGTATTCCCAGATTTTCCTGGACTTGCCCACTGTGCCACCATCAAACTCCCCGACTACCGGGTCAGCCATGGAGAAGTTAGAAGACAGCAAGACACTGTGTTCCTTGTGGATGTCAAGGCCAACAAGCACCAGATCAAATAGGCTGTGAAGAAGCTCTATGACATTGATATGGCCAAGGTCAATGCCCTGATCAGGCCTGATGGAGAGAAGAAGGCATATGTTCAACTGGCTCTTGGCTACGATGCTTTGGATGTTGACAACAAAATTGGGGTCATCTATCCCGAGTCCATTGCCTAATTCTTAAAATAAAAATTTTACACTGTGAAAAAACAAACTCTAGCTAATTATCTAAATACAATGCTATCACTTAGACCACTAGAACCATCTGTGGTTTGTGATTCAAAACAAGAAGTTGGTCTAAATTGCAAAAGCAATACATGTTCATGTTAGGAAGATAAATTGTGAAACACACTATGAACAACTCTATTCCAACAAACCTAGAGGAAATAGACACATTCCTATAAAAATACAACCTCCCAAATCTCAACCAGGAAGAATCTAAAAATCTCAATAGACCTATAACTATGGAGGAAATTGAAGCAGTCATCAAAAAGCTTCCAGCAAACAAAAGCCCGGGGCCAGACAGCTTCACAGGGGAGTTTTACCAAACATTCAAAGAACTAAAACTTATCCTCCTCAAACTATTCCAAAAAATTCAAGAGGAAGGAACACTTCCAAGTCATTCTAGGAAGCCAGCATCACCCTAAAACCAAAACCAGATAAAGACAACACAAAGAAAGAGAACTACAGGCCAATATCCCTCATGAACATAGATGCCAAAATCCTCAACAAAATTCTAGCAAATCGGATCCAGCATTGCATCAGAAAGATCATATACCAGGACCAAGTAGGATTTATCCCAGGAATGCAAGGATGGTACAGTATTCGCAAATCAATAAACGAGATACGTCACATAAACAAACTGAGAGTTTTTTTTAAATTGTGAAAACACAGATAAGGTTAAAAAAAAAAGTTTTATTTGCCTCTTATCTCACCACCCCAAGATAATCACTTTTAACATCTTTTATCTCTTCCTGAAGAAATGCATGATTATTTCAGAAATCAAGCAGAGTCGCTGAGGTGTCACATGAGTTCATGTCACTCATTACTCAATAGATTTTTGTTGTCAACTTTGGGGAAAGATGTCTGATAAACAAATATTGTCAAGATATTTATCTTGGTGGAAATGCATACAGCAACTGCAAGCCCACATCCCTCTTGGTCAGTGTAGACTTGCCTACTACAGCTCATCTGCTATCAGAACCCAATCTGTCCATAGGTGACGGAGCCCGGTTAGTCGCATCTCTCCCACTCTGGATGATAGGGCTGTATCCCCTGTGGCTAAAACCACATTGGCACATAGTAGTTGCTCAGTAAATAACTGATGGAAAATGAACTGTTTTTACTGCATTGTTATTCTTCCCCTGGATGCTGGCCTTGCAAAGTAACTGTTGTCCATTTTGAAACTAAGGCATTTATCCACTCATTTACGGTACTCGTCCCTTCATTCACCCACTGAGAGACTGCTGGGTACCAGCCCTTGGGTGTGTGTACAGGGTGGGACAAAAGTAGGTTTACAGTTGTGAGTACACGGAACACAGAGTTTATTCTTTTCTTTTAGTCCTCACCTGAGGATATTTTCCTATTGGTTTTTAGAAAGAATGGAAAAGAGAGGGAAATACTGATGTGAGAGAAACATCAATTGGTTGCCTCCTGCACAGAGCCTGGGCCGGGGAGGAGCCTGCAACTGAGGTACATGCTCTGGACCAAAATCAAACCTGGGACCCTTTGGTCTACAGGCCAGTGCTCCATCCACTGAGACAAACTGGCTAGGACCAGAGTTTATCCTTGTACTGTTATTTATTAATTATTTAGCACCTGAACTTCCACGCTAATTCTCTCCTTCTTTCTCCCAGTACAATCTGTCCTTCCCCCTTTTCCCACACTCTGCTTCTCTGAGTGTTCTCTCCGAGGCCTCATGCCAGGGCCAAGTGCTAACTCTTTCTTCCCACGGCATATGGCCTGACATGCTGATCGTCCCTGTACACTCTTGTTGATTTTTTTTTATATATAAATTTTTTTATTGATTTCAGAGAGGAAGGGAGAGGGAGAGAAAGATAGAAACATCTGAACAGCAGGCTGCATGGGGTGACAATGATGGTAAAGAATCATTGATTGACTGCCTCCTACATGCCCCCTATTGGGGATCAAGCCCGCAATCCAGGCAAGTGCCCTTGACTAGAATCGAACCTGGGACCTTTCAGTCCAAAGGCCAACACTCTATTCATTGAGCCAAACTGGCTAGGGCTGTATACTCTTGTTTTAGACTTCCCCTTACTGCGGGCCATTGTGCCAGTCCAGATCTCCCAGGAAGCAGGCATGAAAAGGGAACTCACTGTGCAGGGATTGTGTTAGGGAAAACACCAGGGAGAAACCAGGAGAGGCAGGGAGAGCCTTCAGACCATGGTCTGACCCCAAGTGAAGGTCAGAGGCCACCAGGCAGTCTTCGGACGGTTCTATAAAACCATGAGGGGGTTCCCAGGCCAAAAGCAGCCACGAGGGGGTCCTGTATCCCCAGAAACAAACCCGCCTCCGAGTCCCTGCCCCCCTCCGCCTTTGGCTGCATCACCTGTGTGAAGTGGCCTCCATGCAAACACACCAATGGTGGATTGCAGGGCCCCGGGAGGGTGGGGGGGGGGGCGCGCGAGGGGGCGAGGTAGCGGGCAGTTATGCCCCTGAGGTTAGGAGCCTGAGAGGCAACTTCTCATGGTCACCTCAGATGTTTTTTTCTTTGTGTGTGTGTGTGTGTGTGTGTGTGTGTGTGTGTGTGTATGTTTTGTTGTTGTTTAATAGACTTTTTAAAAATATATATTTTGTTGAATTTTTACAGAGAGGAAGGGAGAGGGATAGAGAGCTAGAAACATCAATGAGAGAGAAACATTGGTCAGCTGTCTCCTGAACGCCCCCTACTGGGGATGTGCCCACAACCAAGGTACATGCCCTTGACCGGAATCGAACCTGGGACCCTTCAGTCCGCAGGCTGATGCTCTATCCGCTTAGCCAAACCAGTTTCAGCACCTTAGACGTTTCATAACTTAGGGTGAAACAACATTCCCTCCCTGCTTTCCTGCCTTCTTCAGCAAATGTGCATCTGTGTGTATGAGTGTGTCTCTGTGTGTGTGTGTGTGCACCCTATCTATGTGTATCTGTGTGTAAGAGTGTGTCTCTGTGTTTGTGTTTGCACCCCATGTATGTGTATCTGCGTGTAAGAGTGTGTCTCTGTACATGTTGTATGTATGTGCATACCCTCTGTCCATGTGAGCATCTGGGTTCATCTGTGTGAATATGTCTGTGTGTGGGTTTTGTATGTGCACACACGTCCCAGCCACAACACCATCTCAGAAACCTACATCACACTGCAGCTCCCGCCTCTCCTTGTCCCTGCAGACCATCCTGGTGGGCGACAGCGGCGTGGGGAAGACATCTCTGCTGGTCCAGTTCGACCAGGGCAAGTTCATCCCCGGCTCCTTCTCGGCCACTGTGGGCATCGGATTCACGGTGAGTGCTCCCCGCCCCCGGGCCCCGGTTGGCTGTCAGGGTCCCAGCAGGAAGCAGGTGGTCACTCGCATTGGATCTTTCCAGGAGGTTTAATAAACAGACCATTGACCAAGGCGTAGGCAGGAGCTGGGAAGCCAGGAGGGATGGAGCAGTGTTTGGGGCTGTTACTGGGCTTCCATCCCCCACCCACTCCCAGCCTAAGAGAGCTGAGAGCAGGGAACCAGCACAGACCCAGGGACCAAGAGGGCTGTGTGCAGGGGGTAGCGGGCAGGAGTGTGACCATCAGTGGAGGAACGCAGCAAAGCTCAGTAACCCTCCCCCCACACTGCCCTCCTCCTGCTCCCCCCAGTCCTATGGGGCTCCCCATTGATGGCACACAACCGGAAGCTGGAAAAACAAGGACACGTGTTGCTACAGATGACTCATGCGCACCTCCCCAGGCAATAAGAACCTGAGAGGCAAAGGTGTGGCTTAAAATGACAAAAACAGCCCAGTCCTGGCATTGTGTCCTAGGGCGCTGGGAGGGCAAAGGTTAAAGTTCTTTTTAGCACTTGGTCTCTCCCTGGACACAGCACGGGGGCAGCGCAGGTTAGGGAAGTGGTCCCAACCCGCAGCCCCTCGGGCACCAGGAAGGCCTCCCTGCAGCCCTTGCCCGCTGCCCACTCTCACCAGGACTGCGGCTCTCAGTAACCCTGATCCTGGGAAGGCCTCTGGGGGGGACTGGCTCTGGGCTTGGACTATCCTCAGGAGCTGCAGGCCCTTCTTGGGGGTCTCCGGGGTCCTGGGAGGAGCACGTGGCATTGCTTGGCAGAGTGGGTGTTTGGGAGGCCAGCCTCCGGGACCACAGCGCACAGGCCTGAGGCCACGCGGCTGGGACCAGCAGTCACGCTTGTGGAAAGAGACAGGGGAACCTCGGACGCTGAGCTTGCCGGGCCACAGGGAGGAAGGCCGGGGCCCACCACGGCCAGGGCTTCCGAGTGAGGCTGAAACGGGAGCTCGGCCCCGTGCGGAGCCCAGAATCCAACCTGCCACACCAGTGCCCCCAGCTCCCCGCCACTGGGAGCAGCTGGGCTCCGGAGCGCAGGGCGGAGCCCCAGGAGGACGGGGCTGTGCTGACAGCGCCTGGGGCCTCCCACCCCGGGCACATGCCCGCCTGCCCCCTCAGCACACAGGGCACGCGGTGCCCTCATAGTCACACTCCATACCCCGCGCTCTTCCCACCGGTCAGACTCAGAGGGCAGAGTGTGGCTGGGCGTGGGTGTGGCCACGGGTGCACAGACTCTCATTCACGCTCCGCGGATGCACAGGTGCGGCCTCCACGTTTTGCCTCGGCCTGCGAGAAGGAGGGAGGTATGTGGTTCAGTTGGGAGCCTGACGCTGCTGAGACAGGACAGGCCTTCCGGGGATGTCCCAGAGACTCTGCTCAAAACGCTTCGCAACTTCATCAATTCATCCGATACCAAAGGTTCAGGGCCTCCTAGTTGCCAGAGGCGGAGGGCCGCGTGGGAAGGCCAGAGCCCTGCCTGCAGGAGCGCCAGCTTAGACGCAGCCACAAAGGCACTGCATCCGGGGAGTCCCAGGGTCTCAGGGCAAAGGGCGCGGGGAGGGGAGGCCCTCAGAACCCACACAGGAATCCCCAGCCCACCTCGCAGGGCGGGGAGAGCCCGTGATGGGACATTCTGGACGCAGCCCAACAGGTGAGGGGGAAATGAGAGGCGCTCTACACGAAGGGTCAAAGTTCAAGCACCAACCAACGAGGGCCCGTGTGCTGCAAGGTGCATATCGGTCAGTAACTAAAATTATATTCACGCGAGCTCGGGCTGGGCTGCGTCAGTAACCGTGAGGCTGCCTGCGCCACTTCCTCCGGTCGTACACCCTCTCTCCAACCCAGCACCGCGCAGGTCCAGCCTCTCCCCCACCCCGCACCCGGGGCCACCTGTGGACCGCCTGCTGGCGAGGCTCGGGCGCCGCCTGCTGGCCGCGCTGCGCAGCGACAGCGGAAACCCCGGCGCCGGTGCACGGGCGCCAATGATGCCAGACCTTCCCGCTACCCGTGGGAACTGAACCCCGACGGCTGGCGGCTTTGGGAACCCCGTCCTAGGGGTGGATTTGACATCCTTCAACGTTGCTTCGGGGCCCCGCTGCCCCTCGGGCGCTCCCCCTGGCGGATGTGCGGGTTGGCGGGGGCAGAGGGCGGAGCCTGGCGGGGGTGGCGGGGCAGAAGGAGTGGGTGGAGCGAGGGTGGAGCTGTCCCTGCCCGGTGCGCCGCGGCCCCGCTCCGCTCGGCTCCGGGAACATGACGGGCACGCCTGGCGCCGCCGCCACCCGGGATGGCGACGCCCCCGAGCGCTCGCCGCCCTGCAGCCCGAGCTACGACCTCGCGCTCAAGGTGGGTGCGCACTGCGTCCCGCGCTGGGGACTCCCGTGCGGGTGCTGAGGCCACCCCTCCCCGCGCCCTCCTACCTGAGGCCCTGGGGCTCCCGGGACCCTGCGCCTTTCTGGCTGCTCAGTCCTTCCCCCCAGCCAGGCGCCGGTGTCCGGAGAGAGAGGGAGGGTCGAGACGCGGCCGCTAGGCCCATCCCAACTTCTAGGTGTCTGGGGGGCTCTGCCAGGCCCAGGAGAGGAAGCTGGGAAGTGACTCCCCCAACTTTCTCCTGCCACCCCCGGCTGAGCCCCCGGGAACCCCCATGTTCCTGGCTAAGGGTTGGCTTTCCTGGACGCAGGCACCCGCCCTGGGTGCCCGGACACCCAGAGAAGCCGGCCCTTGGCGACGAGCAACGGGGTGAATGCCCTTTTCCCAGCTCCGCTCTCAGCTGAGACTTGACCAGGGTTCCTTAGGCCCCAAACTCCAGCCTCTTCCCTTCCCGCTGCCGCCTCGCACCTCCTCCCAGGACGCAGGCCACCTGGGGGTGTTAGAGCCTGAGCGAGAGCTCAGTGATGCTCACGGCCCACCTGGGAGAGCCCAGTCCGCTCTCTGCGCTCAGGCCCTCCACAGGGTGGCCCGTGCACAGCGGGTGAGGGTGGCCATGGACGCTGGTCTGGGTGCCCCCCTGCCGGGCCCTGGGAGCAGCGGGTACCAGGCCTCTGGAAGAGGTGCGAAGGGCACTCAGCCTCCCAGGCCGGCCGCCAGGTGGGCGGGGTAGGCATCCGGTCTCAGGATGCACGGCCTTGGAAGAGACCCTCTTTCTGTGCCGTGGTTTCCGCCCCCCATGCAGGGCTCGCGCTAGCCAGGAGCTGGGGCCTCCTCCCCACGGTTTCAGGGGAAGCCACTCCGCAAGTCACCCGCCCAGAGCCGTTGAGATAGGCGTCCTGTGTGGGCTCGTGGCAGGAAATGGGCCCCTGGGCCTTCGGTGGGAGGGGAGCTGGGAGAGCCAGCCCCAGGCTGTGGGGGGGGGGGGGGGGAGGGGGCGTGACCTCCTTGCGGGACAAGCCAATGAGCTGTTTGCCTAGGACCGTGGTCGGCAAACTCATTGGTCCACAGAGCCAAATATCAATAGGACAACGACTGAAACTTCTTTTGAGAGCCACGTTTTTTAAACTTAAACTTCTTCTAATGCCACTTCTTCAAAATAGACTCGCCCAGGCCGTGGTATTTTGTGGAAGAGCCACACTCAAGGGGCCAAAGAGCCGCATGTGGCTTGCGAGCCGCAGTTTGCCGACCCCGGGCCTAGGCCCTAGGAGGTGGCCAGGTTGGGCAGCTGTTTGTGTTTAGTGTAGGTGGCTGGCAGCGTTGGCTCGGGGCAGCTGCGGTCTGTAAAGCACACAGGCGCTCGCTCTCCTCTCCTCTTTGGGTGCTGGCTACAGAGGGCTCCCAGGCCTCCATCAGGAGACTGGGTCCAGGACAGCCTGGCAGGAGCCCCCGGGGCTGCCCTAGAAGGGGGGCGGAGGGGTGCAGCGGGCAATACCCACCTGCACCCACTCTTCGGAAGTCTTGGGTGGTTCATGCAACATGATTGGTACTGGCCCTTACCAGGCTCTAGAAAGGCCTCAAAGGAAGTCCCCTCCGTCCTCCTGGCCACTGTGGGCGCCATGCCACAGGTCAGGGATCTTTCCAAAGCCCCTTCCCAAGCCAGGACCCCGGCCTTCATTGGCTCAGCCCCTTCCCTCCCTGCAGAGTCAGCGCATCCCCATGTCCCGCATGCACAGCAGGAAAGTCTCTGTCAAGGTCAGACCTCAAGAAGGATGCGGGCCTCGTCCTTCTCCAACCCATTAGCCTCTAATGGGCCCGCTGGGAAAGTTCCAGCAGTAGGTCCAGACCTCTGTTCTCCACGATGGAGGAGTATCCGGACAGGGGCTGCCTCCCGACCCTTTTGCTCCCCAGTGGAGATGAGCGGAGACTGGCCCGGCAATAAAGGGGCGGGCACACCCCTCAGCCCCCACTCCCTGCCCCACAGGGACCCAGGGACGCCATTGTGGCCATTTGTCCCACTTTGAGGTTTCTGCTGAGAGAACTTCAGACTGAATGTCTCCCCACCGCAATGTATTTAAAAAAAAAAAATTTTTTTTTTTTAAAAAGAGAGGGCAGGAGAGAGAGAAAAAGAAACGTTGATGAGAGAGAAACATTGACTGGTTGCCTCCAGCACCTCCCTTACCAGGAATTGAGCCTGGAACCCGGGCATGTGCCCTGACCAGTAATCAAACCAATGACCTCTTGGGTCATGGGTTGATCCTCAACCGCTGAGCCACACTGGCCAGGCCATGCAACCTTTTTATAAACATGTAACATCAAATACAGAAAAGAAAAAAAAACACAACATGTCACATCATCAGTAACTTCCAAATACATGTGGTGACCAAAACCATAGTAACTTGAGAACATGCCTTTGCAGAGGCTGACACCTCCCTTGGCTGGGAATCCTGTCCCAAGTATTAACACTTCCTGATTTTTTAAAAATGTTTATTGCGTGCTTCTCTGCCCACGCATGCGCTCAGGCACAGCTGGAACACGCTGTGGAGGGATGTGGGCCCGTGAGCAGGGCAGACGTGTCTGAGACAGAGGGGGTGGTTCCAGGGCCGGGGACACATCTGGGGACCTGATGGTGCTGAGGTCTCAGCACAAGCTTCCAGAACGCTGGGTGGGTGAGGACCCAGGTCAGAGGGAGAGCCGAGAGGCAGGGCGTGGAGGGAAGAGGCGGACTTCCAGCAGCAGATGCCCCTCCCCCCATGCCAGCATCCTCTGCTCGCCCTCTGCCCCTCTGTCCGGGGGCTTCTCTCTCCGGAAGCCCAGAATTGCGCCCCAGCTCCCCATTAACTGCCTCTGCCCCCATCTCCTAGGTGATGCTTCTGGGAGACTCGGGCGTCGGGAAAACCTGTTTCCTGATCCAATTCAAAGACGGGGCCTTCCTGTCCGGGACCTTCCTAGCCACCGTCGGCATAGACTTCAGGGTGAGGTGGCCGCAGGCTCTGCCCCCGCAGCCAGCCGGGCTGCGGCTCAGGCCCGGGCACTGCCCTGTCCCGCCTGTCCCGCCTGCAGGAGGTGGCTCAGGGCCCGGAGGGCACCAGGGCTGCCCCAGGGAAGGGACCAGTGCGTGGACCCGTGTGCGGAGGCCGGGCCTGGCCCCTTGCCCGCTGCAGGCTATGAACATGGAGAGAGTGAGTCTTAAAGCTCGGCCCCTGGTGGGGCAGTCACACGCCACGACGGTGTGAGCCCAGCTTCCTGCCCTCAACCCCCTTGCTCCGTGCCCCCTCGCCTGGGCCCCCGGGTGAGGCCTCCGCCAGGCTTTCCTGGCCTCTGGGCAGCACGGCCGCGCCAGGCGGAGGAGCTGGGCTGGCCTGCCAGGGCCCCCCTCTCACCTTCAGGGTCCTTCTGCACAAATCCACATGGGGACACTGAGGCCTCTGAGTCCTGCTCACCCAAAAGGTCAGGGGAGTGAGGGCCCAACCCTGGCAGGGGTCCACCAGAGGTGGGGTGCCCCCTCCAGGGGCGGGGGGAGAGGAAGTCCACTTAGGAGGAGTGGGGGGCAGCCAGGGGAGGTTTCCGGGATGCTGGGGCATCTTCTCTAAGCTTGGTTGCAGGATGGGCCCCAGCTCCTGGAGAGGCAGGCAGAAGTTGGGGAGGGGCGGGATCCCCAGTTCTCAGACCTCAGGCTCCCCTTAGCCACGTGTTGTGAGAAGCACAGACGAAGAGAGGGCTCCTCAGCGGGAGTCTCTGGGGAACAGGGGCCCACTGCCCTGATGGGGTGATCCGGCTGGGCCAGCTCTGAGGTCACCGCACCCCCTCCAGTCCTGGGGAGCCACCCGGACTGGACGCTCGGTCCTTAAAAGGCCGTCCACAGGAGCCGGGCTGCCCTGCCCGCCGGCCACCTGTGTGCTTTTCTCTTTCAGAACAAGGTGGTGACCGTGGACGGCGTGAGGGTGAAGCTGCAGGTGAGAGGAAGGCTTGTGGGAAGTTGGGGAGGGGTGGAGGGCCTGACCTGCTCTTCACCCAAACTGCAGGAGGCTGTGGCCCTGGCCCTGCCCTCAGCCTGGGGCAACTTCCTGTGGGGCCAAAAGAAGAAACAGCGGCTTTTGCTCCTTTGATGTCTGCAGCAAAAGCAAAAGCCGCTCCCAGGCACCCTCTCTTCTAGCAGAGGCAGCTCAAGTGCCTCAGACAAGCTTCGGCTTGCTCCCTCCTCCCCTGCCCCCTCCTTTCCCCCTCCCCCCTGCCTCCCGGCTCCCGTCCCTGGGCTGGGGAAGGGGCCAAAGCACTGAGTGAGCCTCAGGCCCCGGGACCTGTCACAGGCAGGAGTCGGCAGGTGTGCAGGAGCCGTGAGAAGCAGAGGAGCCAGGGTGCCGCCTTCCCACCCACACAGCTCTCACACCACAACACGGGTGCCCTCTGCCCACCGCCGCCCCGCGCCTGCCTCCTCCTGACCCTGTGCCCGTCCCTTCCTAGATCTGGGACACCGCCGGGCAGGAGCGGTTCCGCAGTGTCACCCACGCTTACTACCGAGATGCCCAAGGTAAGGCCCTGGCGCACGCCACCTCCGTCCCCAGCCCCCCTGGGACCTCGCCCCGTGCCCGTGTGACCGCTCTCTCCCCCCGCAGCCTTGCTCCTGCTGTATGACATCACCAACAAGGCCTCCTTCGAAAACATCCGGGTAGGTTGCTGTCCGCCCCCGGAGCAACCACGGCGGGGCTGCGGAGTTCAGGGCTGCCCCCTGCTCTGGGGGGAAGGGTGGGGCCCGGAACACGGCTGCCTTGGCAGCATACCTGAGCTGTGACTCAGGCACAATGATCCGCCTCTGGGTATGCGATGGGCATGTGGGCATGGAGACCGGGCAACGCTTGGCCTGACGGTGATTCATGAGTGCGCTCCGTGACACAAGTTCAGAAAGTACCCAGCCCCGCCCTGGACAATTAGCCACGGGGCCGAGGGGAGAGCAGCAGAGAAGTCTGTCCTCACACCTAGTCCAAGTGGCAAGACAGTGACCCAGGCAGACAGAGGGCGTGGCTCTGTGCTCACTACCACAATACGGAGGAAAGCAGGCGATCACTCACCAAATGTAAGCACTGACCCCGAGTGTAACCCTGCAAAGGTCCCCCGTACTCTCTGACCTCAAGGGGTCGACGAGCAAAGTGGGGAACAAGACATACAGGTATAAAACAGCTGGTGTGGCTCAGTCAGTTGTAGCATCATGCCGCACACCAGACGGCCGTGGGTTTGATTCCTAATCAGGGCACATACGTAGGTTGCGGGTTCCTCCCCAGGTCAGGCGCATATGGGAGGCAACCAATTGATGTCTCTCTCTCTCTCTCTCTCTCTCTCTCTCTCTCTCTCTCTCTCTCTCTCTCTTCCTCTCTCCCTCTTTCTCTTCTTTGCTCCCTCTCTAAATTCAAACAAAAAGAGGGTGGCACTCATACTGCCACTCCCAACCCCATGCTCATGGCAGACATTACTAATCAATCATAGTATTTTTGATCACTGAGTCCTTATGTGGCCATAGAATTCTCAATGGGAAATCATCGTTGGTGGCTATCAACTGATTGCTGAGACAAGCTTCTGCCATTTCTGTGGAAATAGGAGTCGCACTGTATGGGTTTTGGAGCCACTCAGGACTGGAGAGGCCAGAACAAGGATGCAGATATGAGAGTGAATAGGGCATCAGGGCTGGAGGAGGCAGTGAGTAGCCCAGGATAATCAAACAGGACAGACGAAGGAAGGGCAAAAGGGAGGGGAAGATTGGCTGGTGCTCAGCCTGCACCCGGCTCAGCTCACCCTCTCCCACAGGCCTGGCTCACGGAGATTCATGAGTACGCCCAGAGGGATGTGGTGATCATGCTGCTAGGCAACAAGGTGAGTGGTCCATGGCAGGTCCAGCCCACCTGCACGTCCTCTCCTGCTGCCACAGCATCCCTGCGACCAGCCTCATCACTGCCCGAGTGTTAGCCGGCCATCTGTCCAGCAAAGGACTCTTCCCCGCCTCCAGTTCAGGGGGCGGACTGTCCTGGCGGCTCAGCCCATCTTCTCTGTCCTCCTTACGCTTTGGGATGGTCCTTGTGGGGAAAGCGCCAGCTGCTGATTGTGAGATCCAAGGCTGCCCAGGTGCTCGGCCCCTATTAGGTCATGGTAACCAGGGTCCCGGATGCAGAGCCAAGAGCAGAAAGCTTAGCCCCAACTACTCTCAGCCCTCTGAGGCTGGGTCTCCACGGCCTTGCCAAGGAGCATTACCCACCTCCCCAAGAGGGAGGGAGATTCCAGGGCGCCCAGCTGGGGAACTCCTCCTGAGCCAGGTGGAAACCCTGCCGCCCAGTGCCGATCGTACCCCCCGCAGTCCCACAGGCCACCAGCAGAGGGCGGGCAGTGCCTACTCCTGGCAGTGGTCGGCAAACTCATTAGTCAACAGAGCCAAATATCAACAGTACAACGATTGACATTTCTTTTGAGAGCCAAATTTTTTAAACTTAAACTATATAGTACATTGTTATTACAAGTACATTGTTATCAACTTAATTAGGGTCCTCCTAAGCTGGCTTTGCTAAAAACTCAAGGGGCCAAAGAGCCACATGTGGCCCGTGAGCCCGTTTGCCAACCAGGGTCCTGGGGCAACAGATGGGCCAGAAGGGGCAGGAGAGGGGCGGGCTGGGGTCAAAGCTTCCTTCCCCAGAGTGACCCGCCTGGGCTTGCAGGCAGACGTGAGCAGTGAGAGGGTGATTCGCTCGGAAGACGGAGAGACGCTGGCCAGGGTAAGGGGCTGGCGTGTGGGCAGGGTGACGGGTGGGGGCAACCAGAGGCTGGCCCTGAGGACACGCTCTCCCTGGCAGGAGTACGGAGTTCCCTTCTTGGAGACCAGCGCCAAGACGGGCATGAATGTGGAGCTGGCCTTCCTGGCCATAGCCAAGTGAGAGCTGAGCGGGGCAGGGAGCGGGGCGGGGGTGGGGGGGAGGGCACTCTGGGAACCCAGGAGGGCCGGGCCCCGGGGCTCCACTGCACCTGCACTGGGAGGTCCCTTTGCCCCCAGCGGGCCGGCCATGGAGAGGGGAGGGTGCTCCCCGCCTGGCTCGCTGCCCAGCCCGTTGCCTCTTCCTCTTCAAGGGAGCTGAAGTACAGAGCCGGGCAGCAGGCCGGCGAGCCCAGCTTCCAGATCCGAGACTACGTGGAGTCCCAGAAGCAGCGGCCCGGCTGCTGCTCCTTCCTGTGAAACCGAGGGGCCGAGGGACGGCTCCCGGGGCCCGCGGGGACGCAGCCTTCTCCCCAGGACCTGGCTGACTCAGCGGCTAAGCCAATGCGGGGAGAGAGTTGGGGGCCGAGTGCAATTGGGGGCTGTACCCCCACCCCTACCTTAGTTCCTGTAGCTTCCCTGCATCGCCAGGGAGGGTCAACTATTTGTATTTCACTTTAGTGAAACATAATCCAACACACACACACACACACACACAAAGGGGTACCAGAAAGCCAAGGTAGGGACGTGATGGCCTTAGCCTTCTGGTAGATACTAGGACTCGGGGGCTGGGCCTCCCTCCTAGGCGCTTGTGGGGCGGGAGGGCAGGCAGGGACCCTGTTCCCACCCTCAGTGAGGCTGGGGAGAGGCTGACCGGACCCCAGACTTCATTTCCTCCAGCTCCCCAGGGGCCAGTCTCCCCCAGAAGATGGGCCGTTGTGCCGGGAGCTAGACCAAAGCCTGTCTCTTATCAGGGAAGATAAGAGCTGTGGAGATTGGGCAGGGCCCAGCTCCCGGCCTGGCAGGGGGAGGGGAGTAGCGGAGAGCGGGGTCTGTTTGGCTACCTCTGGCCTTACCAGCCCCCTCCAGGAGGCGCAGCCCTTCCCCTCCTGCTCACAAGCACAACGGGCGGGCGGGCGCTCGGGAGCCTTCGGTTGCTATTCTCTGGGCCTCCCTGCACTCCTGGTTGGACTTTCCTCTCCGCTGTGCCCGAGAGTAGATTCTCAGATCCCAATAGTCCGCAGGCTATTTCTTCCAACAGCTGCAGTGCTTCTCCTGGGGAAAGGGCCGGTGAGAGGGAAACCCCTAACGCCAGAGCAGGTGGGAAACAAACCGCGCCCTAGTGCTAACCCAAGTGCTGCCTCTCAAACAGGCCCCAGGGCCGGAACTGCTCTCCCTCCCCCCCTCCTGAGACAGCTAGGGGAGGGGAGGCCCCCGGGTCTGGGTTAACCAGAATGTGTGCGACACAAGGTTGCGTGGGGAAAGCTGGGGTGGGGAAAGGGGCAGCAAATCACACGTCTCCCAAAGCCCTGACCCCAGCAACGGGAAGGGGGCAGGAGGCACGCAGGTCCCAACCTAGAGGCGCCCATGCTCTGGCTCCCCAGGCCAGGGGCAGGGGAGAGGGGCGAGAACGAGGTGCGCACCGGGCATGTCTGAGGCCACTGCGTCTGCTTCCAGGGCAGAAATCTCGCGGTCGGGTCCGAGAGCGGAGTCAGCGCGGGCCCTGATAAGGAAGCTCTCCTCGGCCTCTCCCAGGCCGAGCAGGGAGGAGCCTGACCTTGCCCAGGGCAGGTCTCTGGGGATCCAGTCACTCGGGCTGCTCTGGGCCGCTGGCACTTTGTTTTTTTCAGAATTAAATTGCAGTATTTTGGAAAGTACATCCTGTCCATGGCTTCTTTGAGATGCGCAGGGTAGCGGGGATGTGTTGAAAGGAGGGTTCCTGCTGATTGGAGGAACCGCCCCCAAGTGCCAAAATCTTTTGATCCTGGTGCTCCAGTAGCCCCAGCCCCACCCTTTCACAGACGGCCCCTCCGGTGAGGAGCTGAAAGAAGGCTTATCACCGTAGGGTCCAATTCATGTTTCCTTTATTGAAGAAAGCCAGGGCTCCTTTCCCTGCGGTTGGTTACCTGAGTCTGTTCTGCCTGCCCCCACCCCAATGCTCCCGTCAAGCGCCGAGGCCAGTGCCCATGCCATTGTCCCAGCTGGCCTCCTCCCGTGGGCAGGCCGGCAAAGCCCCTCTTTCTCCTGAGTCCTCAGGCCGCCCCAGGGAGGATCACAGCATGCACCTATAAACAGGTGGCAGCACCAAGTGACTCCACAAGCGAGGACTTCGTTATTCAAACAACTGTGGAGTCCGAGGCGGATCTCGGTCTTTTTTTTTTTTTTTTTTTTTTTTGTAAAACCGCTGCGACTTCGCAGCCTCGTTCCGGAACCGGATCGGTTTCCCCAGCAACAGTCGCTCCCCCTCCCACCCGCCCTCCCTCCTAAACCCCTGAATTGGAGCTGCACCCAGGTTTTGGCTGCTAAAGGCTGTTTCAAACGTTAGGGTCCCGGATGAGCTCCCCTCAACCCCCGCCACCCACGGGTGGGAGAGATCAGAACTGAGCCGGCGGGCCCTCCGGCCCAGGACCGGGAACCCGCCCGCCCCGCCCCCGCCTCCACTCGGGCCACTTGGTAACAAACACTTCCACTTCCTGAGCCTCTTTCTTCTCCCGCCGCCGAGCGCCGCGCCGAGCGCAGGGTCCCGCCCCCGCGCGTTCCCATTGGCCAGCGAAGTTCACCCGGCCTGAGCGCCCCCTGCCCACGGCCTCTGATTGGCTCAGGGCGCTCCACACCCGCGGCGCGGCCCCGCCCCCGAGGAGAAGGGGTCGGGCCGGGTGCTGGGAAGCTCAGACGCCGCGCGGGCGGGGATTGGGCCGCGCGCTCGCAGTTGGGTTCCCGGAGGTGCGCGGCTGCCTCCCACGGACCACCTGCTGCTCGTCCCGCCGGCGCGGAGAGTGCTCCCTCCAGCCTCCTCATCTGCGGGGGGGAAAGGGCTGGGTCGTCCCGTCTCAGGACCCCGCGTCGAACCGCTGAGCCGCCGTCGCAGGGCGAGATGAGCGCGGACGCGGCGGCCGGGCCGCCCCTGCCCCGGCTCTGCTGCCTGGAGAAGGGTCCGAACGGCTATGGCTTCCACCTGCACGGGGAGAAGGGCAAGCTGGGCCAGTTCATCCGGCTGGTGGAGCCCGGCTCGCCGGCCGAGACGGCGGGGCTGCTGGCGGGCGACCGGCTGGTGGAGGTGAACGGCGAGAACGTGGAGAAGGAGACCCACCAGCAGGTGGTGAGCCGCATCCGCGCCTCGCTCAGCGCCGTGCGCCTGCTGGTGGTCGACCCGGACACGGACGAGCGGCTGCAGAAGCTGGGCGTCCCGATCCGGGAGGAGCTGCTCCGCGCGCAGGAGGGGCCCGCGCAGGCCGAGCCGCCGGCCGCCGTCGAGGCGAAGGACGCTGGCGGCGAAAGCGAGCCGCAGGCCGCCGCGCCGGAACCCCGGGAGTCCGACCAGAGCCGTCCCGAGCGGGTAAGCGTGTGTGTGTGTGTGTGTGTGTGTGTGTGTGTGTGTGTGTGTGTGGAGGGGGGGCCTGGGCCGGGCGGCGAGTCTGCCACGGGGCGAGGAGAGGGGAGCGGGGAGAGACCCAGGCGACCGGCCTTTGGAAACGCGATCCTCGCGGGGGAAGCTGCTTCCGCCCGCCTCCCGGGCGCTCGGGCGGTGGCGGGCTTGGGGCCGCTTCCCACGCCCCCACCCCTTCCCCGCACCGGGCTGGGACTCGGCTCTCTCTGCCACTTGTTCTCTGGCCTTGGGACGTGGGAGGGAGGGAGGAGGGCGGGCGGCCCAGGCCCCTTGTCCCTCTGTCGTTGTTCGGTTGGAGGCGGCTGCTCCATGTTTTGGGAAACCTCTGGTCCCGCCCATCCCGGGGCCGGCTCTTCAGCCACCCGGTTCCCAGCCTCCCCGGAGGTGCCCGCTTCCTTCCCGGCCCCGGCGGGTGGTGACGAGCTGGGATGAAGCAGGTGGGACCCGCGGAGCCGGGGAGGGGAGGGGAGGAGGGCGGAGGGGTGGCAGGCAGGGCCGTCTCCGCGCCCCCCTCCCCTCCAGCCCCGGTATGTGTATCATTAACTGCAGCGGCTGGACTTCATCCTCCCCTTGCAGGCCGGTGTGACTTCTAAGAAAAGCGCGAAGCCCCGCCAGCCGTGGGCGCTGTGGGTGGGGTTCGGGGAGGAGGTGCAGAGGTCTCTCTGGGGATCTGCCTCCTAGGATTTATGATTCTCAGGAATGTGAGGAGTAAGCGCTAGCTGGTATCTGAGCGCGGGAGGGAGGATCTTGGAGGAGGAGGAGGAGGAGGAGGAGGAGGAGGAGGAGGAGGACTAGGGGAGGGAGGAGAGGGAGTGGTGCGTGGCCCTGGGCCATGCAGGGGCCAGCAAGCAGCTTCGGGAAGGTGGTCCTGCCCAGGCAGCCGCCTCACTCCGTCCCTGGAACAGCAGGAAGTCTGGTTGTTTTTTACCCATGTTTAGAGTTTCCCAAAACCATCCCAGCCTGGCTCAGCTGCACCATGGGCAGTGGCAAACTGGAGCTGTGCTCAGGCTCTGTCCCAGAGACTGAGGGGGAGGCCTCAGGGAGCAGACTGGCAGGGGGGGTGGGGGGCAGGGCCTGGGCCCGTTTGGTGGCTCTCCACCTGGTGGCAGCATGTGGCACAGGTGTTGGCGGTGCCAGCAGGAGCCTCCCCTGGACAGAGAAAGGGCACAGTTCAGCCTAAAGGTAGAAGGTGGAGCCAGAGAGGACCAAATGGTTCAGTGGAAGTAACGGAAGTGAGGTCACGCCGAGCCCTGTCCAGCGGAGTGCAGTGCCAAGAATGCCAGGGCCACCAGGCTCCCACTTCCTGCCATTACCAGCAAGGCACTGGCAGGGGTGGGGCAGGGGCCGGAGCAGCCCAGCCCGGGGTCAGACACCCGGGAGCTGGAGCCCGTGACCTCTGGCCCCAGGCAGAAATCCACTTTGCTGAGTGCTTCGATTTGCCATTCCCTTTCCTCTGGACTTTGACACTCGCTCCAGTAACCCGCCACCCCGCAGCCCCCACCCCCGAAGTTGCATCAGGTCCAGCTCCTCCCATCACCCTTTTGGTGCTGCTGCCGGGTGTGGGAGGGCCCAGCACACGCCGCCCCTCCTCCCCGGTGCCATCTGAAAGGCACAGGCTCGGCTTCCTGCTCTCAGGGCAGCCCAGAACCCGCGTCCCCCAGGTGGTTTGCGGGCACCGTGTTAGCGGGGAGAACCAGCCCCCAGTCCTGGGGACACCGCCACCAGGCCCCTTGGGGTTTCAGGTCAGCAAGCCAATCAGAATCTCCCTGAGCCTTGGTTCTCCCACCTGTAAAATGGGGGCCTTGGATTACACCTGTTCTCCAGAATTCTGCAGACAACAGGAAGTGCTTGCACCTTTGTGGGGTGCTGAATTGAGCTCCTTGAGGCCCAGGCATTAAGCCTTGTGCTCAGCCAATCAGCACTTTCTAAATGAAATCTGGCATGGTGGACTTAAAGCTGACCCACCCTGTCACTGCAAAACTGTTCATGAACATCCTAAATCATCTTCCCAAAGGCCTCTCAGTGGGGCCGTTTCGGTCTCTGTTAGTTCTCACACGTGGAAAGGAGTGGGTGGCAGGGGACGTGCGATGGGGCAGAGGGTGAGGGGGCCTGTCGCTGTGTGGAAGGAGGCGGAGGTGTGCTTCCAGCTCTGCCCCCCTTGTTGGTGGCTTTTCCCCCTCCACCCACAGGGCAGGGGCAGTCACAGGACGGGACCGAACCCCTTGCGCGCGGCGCCTGGCACATGGACCCACCTCGGCAAGCGGGCAGGCCTGAGCCGCTCCTCTGTGCTGGCAGGGCCGCCTCTCCGCCTCCCTAAGCCTCCACTTCCTCTTGTGCAAATTGGGGGCGACAGCAGCCGCCTCGAAGGGTTGCCAGGATTACTTAAGGGTGTGTGTTCAGCTCAGTGCCTGGCACCGAGTGGGTGGTGTGTGAATTAATAAATATTCCACAGCGATCGTTGCCCCATCCATGGGGCGACGAGCCCCGGATCAGCCTCCCTCGTTGGGCAAGGGCAGCGGCAGCCACACCTGGCACCAAGCATGTGCTCACGTAGGGGTGTCTCTTGTTGGATAATCATGTTCCTCAGCCCGTCACCACCTGGCAGGCAGCCTTCCCCCCACTCCCCGCGGTGTCCACCCCAAGGTCCAAACTCCCCGCCGGCACACCACGCTCGCCCGGCCTTTGAGCCTTCCAGGCCTGGTCCCCCTGCCCCTTCACTGCAGGGCACACTCCCCAAGGCCACAGGGCTCCCCGGAGCCTCTCCTCTCCTCTCCTCGCCTCCTCCCACTCCCTGTCCTCACACCCGCCCGTCACGTTCCGAAGGTGCTGGGTTTGAACGCTCTGTTTACGATCTCTATCACTGATCTCTATAACTGCGTGGCCAGGCCCATGGCCAGGCCCCGGGCAACACCTGCCCTTATTTGTTTCTGTCCCAGCCTGGTGCCCAGGGCAGGGAGAGGCTCAATCAAATTTTTTGAATTAGTGAATAAATGCCTAACAGCCAGCAGGGACCTTTGTCCTAAGTCATCTCACTCCAGTCACCTGGGCCTGCTGACGTCTCAAAGGCTCCAACACACCCAGAGATTGGAATTCCAGAAGAATGTCCCCACTCCCTCTTCTTGCCTTCCAGCAGCTTCCATTTTAAAATCGGGACACCGGAAGTCTGGGCTTTGGGGTCCAATCCGCCAGCCCACTGGCTCCGGGCCCCTGATTGTCCATTGTTCCCCGTGAGCCTCAGCATCTGCGTCTCTGAGATGGGACTCCGGCACCGGGGCCCCTGAGAGGGGATGTGGTTGTGTAAGAGCCGACTTGGGGTGCTTTCCACCAGACCTGACCCTGACCCCAGAGGCAAAGATGGTGCAGGCACCCCAGCTGACAAGGTGGGGGCTGGGCAAAATTTTCTGGCAGCCTCCCAGCCTCTCCCCGTTTCTGGGAGGACGGGACTGGGTTTGGGTGTGAAATGGACTAGGCCATGTTTTTGGGGTCTCTTTCTCCACTAGGGTAGCCCCTGGCTCTTACTTTCTTGGGAGCGTCTTGGAACAAAGCTTACTCTGACCCCAGCGTCCGCCTGCATATCCATGTGGCCACACCTTTGGGTTGTGCTCGGGGGGCCTGGCTCTCCAGCGGTGTCTGCCCATCACGGTGGGACACATCCAGGCTGCTTGGACCACCTCCCTGCAAGGGTCCGGGGAGCTGAGCCCTTTGGGCCAGGACTCCCAGGTGCTCCTGTCCCCAACAGTGTCCTTCAAGCACCTGAGGGAACACCTCGCCCCAAAGGGCAGACTCCTTGGACCCATCCATCCCTCCTCCGGTGACTAAGTCTCTACCTTCACCCTAGGTCCTTAGAATCCACCCTTGCTATCTCTGGGCGTCCTGGGGTACAAAGGGCTTCCCCGGAGGCCGGTCTTGACTTTTGGCCTTGGCCTTCCCTTCCCCGTCCCTTGGCATCGGACGACTCACCGCGTCCCCAGACCCTCAGTCAATGCTTAGGTTCCTGCCCTAGGAAAGGCTTCCCCGAGGTCCCGGCTCAGGTGCTGCTCTCTGCTGTGCGACCGAGCTCCCATCTCTCCCTGTGCCCTGTTACAAGGTCACGGGTGGGGATCTGGAAGTGTTCGGGGCTGACAGCCACATGGGTGAGGATCTGAGCAGGCCGTGGCCACAGCCACCAGCTCCGTGTGGCTCCTGGTACAGGGAACGTGCTGGTCCCCATTGAGAGGCGCTGTGAGCGCACTTGCCAGGCGTTGAAGACCTGGCACAGACAAAAAGGTGTAAAATAGCCCATTGATCATCTTTTAGATGGATTACGTGTTGAAATGTTGTGTAAAATAAGGTATTACAACTCGTTTCTCTTGTTCCTTTTTACTTGTTAATGTGGCTCATAGAAAACTTTTAATTACCTATGTCAAAAAACAAAACTCAAACCAAGTAAATGTGAAGGTCAAATTGGCTTTATTCAGTGATTTATGGGGTCATGAATACAATACAATTGTATGCAGGTGACGTGTTATACGAACATACACCTGAAACCGGTACAATTTTATTAACCAGTGTAACCCCAATACATCCACTTAATAAAACGACTCATCCCAATAGCACCTGGCTGGCTCGCTGAGGGGCCATGCAAAAGGGGAAAGATTTTATAGGAAGAAGGACGGGGCGAAGGAACTGTTGGCAAAAGAAGGGTGATTTGGGGCCCTGCACCTTTTCTCCGGGAAGGGTTTTATCCTGCACGTTGCCTCTCGCCTGTGGGGAGAGGGCCCAGGTGACGGAAGTTCCAGACTGATTGATTAAGATTCTATTTCTCGGAGAGGTTGAAACTGCAGTTAGACCAGGTGGTGTGTCTAGGTGTGGTGCCGTGGTTATTAGCATGGGTGATGCCATATTGGGCCTGTGGTATGTTTTTTTCTGTAACTAACGCCTAGATGACTGGCATTGTGTTCCTATTGGATAATGCTGGTCTGGAGCTGAGTCTGGAGCCTGCTCTCTTTGGACCCGAGTTTCCTCACCTGTGAAATGAGGGCAATAACACCTCCCTTGCAGGGTTACAATTGGGTTTTAACAAGAAAATACACATGAAGTCCTGGTGCCGCGATAGGCGCACAGTAAGTGCCCAGTAAACAGTGGCCGCTCTGTGCTGTTTCAGCCACGCTCCAGTTTCACAAGCTCCCTGAAGGTTCTCACAATAACCTCCTGACACAGCTCCCAGGAGTAAAGTCCAGAGACTCCTCCGTGGGAGAAGGGTGAGGTGTCATGGGGGCTGATGGTGGAGTGCCTGCTGGGCCGCGGGCATGGGGCGGCCAGCCTGGACGGTGGCCAGCCAGGCAGCAGCCCACGTACCAGCCTGCTCCATCCCAGCCTTGCCCAGCCCTGGGGAGACCTGAGCCAACCTCTCCCTCAGACGGGCCCCTGAACGGCACTGGGAGAAAGAGCCAGAGGGGGATCTGGCTCAGGGCCCCTCCTGGGGGAAGCGGCCGCCGCTTTAGCTTCTGTCTCCCCGCTGGATCCCACCCTCTGCGCTCCAGAGAAGCTCCTCTCCGCGGAGAGACAGCAGGAAGTTCAGAGTCTAGGGCTCGGAGCAGCTGGCTCTTTGCGAGTGGAGGTGTCTGGCATTCCTCAGACCGGAGGTTCTGTGGGGTGAAGTGGAGCCACCTCAGGGCAGGAGTCGGTGGCAGCCAAGCCTCTCCGCTCCTGGGGGGAGGAGAGGATCCGGGAGCCCGGAGCTGTGGACACTGGCCAGTGGTCCAAGCTCCTGGCCACTCCCCGGCCTGCCCTGAGGACAGTGCCCGCATGTTCCCCGTCACACGTCACCCAGAAGAGCACCGAGCAGCCAGGGTTCCTCAGCCCAGCACACCCTCTGCCTGCTGCCGGGACAGCCAGGCCCTTCTCCTGCCCTGGCTGGGCTCCTTTCTCTGCGGGAGGCAACTGGGCACTGTTCGGTGCATAAACAGGAGCCGGGGGCTGGGCGGCCCTGGGAGGTGAGGGTCACCTCTATTGTTCCCCAGCCACCTGGCAGTCTCCCCTCCACAGCCCGCCCCTTGCAGGAAGCTGCCTGGCTGTTCTACCTGGGCTGTTCTCCAAGGCACCGGCCAGGGAGGGGCCGCCCCGCGGGGCATCGGCCCCCCAGCCCTCCTCCCCTGGGCCTGATCCCCAGAGACAGGCGCTGGGATTAGGGTATCGACTTTCCGCAGCTTTCCAGGTGGCTGCTGTGGTGCCTATTGAATTCCGTGCCCGCCCTCCGCTCTCTGGGCTGCCTGCGGGGGTGGAGGTGACCGGGCGGCCACTCGGGGCGGGGCGGGGCGGGGCTCCCCCGGAGAGGAGGGCAGGCCCGGGACGGAATTCGGAGCAGCCGGAGAACCTGAGGGCTCCTGATGGCTCTGTGAGTCTGGAGGCAGGTCTCCGGGCAGGTCCTTTCCGGAAAGTGGGTCTGGGAGTGACTCAGGCTCACGCTGCCCCAGCCCACTGGCCACCATCGCCTTGCGGTCCTTCCTCTGTCTGCGGATCTCTGCCAGTCTCCTCACTGAGATTCTGATTGAGACCATGTTCCCCTTGTCGTGACCCCACCCCACCTCTGGGCCCCTCATGCACCAGCACAGGGCTGCCCCTAACCCCTGGGGCCACACCATAGGCCGGAGATGGTTTGGCCTGGCCATTTCCCCTCTCCCCAGGCCCTGCCCAGCTCTGGGATACAGGCCCCGGAGCGATGACGGCCAAGCTCCAGGCACCTGACCCCTCCTTCTTCCCTTCTCAGGCCGGGCCAGCCCCAGGACCCCCAGGGAGGCTGCCCCCCGGGGGCTCCTGTCAGCACCAGCCTCCACCCAGGCTGGGCCGGGCTGACTCAGCAGCTGGCGCTGACACCTGGAGACAGCGGGAGGGGGGCGGGGAGAGACACGCCAGTCTCCCGGGAAGAATGCGAAGCCTGCAGCCGGCCCTGGGAAGGAAGGAGCCTCTGGGGACCTGGGAAGGGGGGTGCGGGATGGGGCTCTGTGGGTGTGGGACGCTTCAGAAGGGTTTCCTGGCGCCTGCCCAGAGGGCAGTGGAGGGAAGAGAGCAGCAGGGCCCTGAGCCCCTCCAGCTGGCTCCCTTATTTCTTCCCTCCTCACGGCTCCGTGCGGCCCTCCAGCTCTAAGGACAGGTCCCCGGGCAAGGCTCAGTGCGGGGAGCCTGCCACACAGAGCCGGGCAGCCATGCCGCCATGCCAACCTGAGATCACCCACACTGCCCCTTCCCCGCCCAGGCCCAGGCTGAGCTCTGGCTTCGCGCACCCGGAAGGAAGGCTGTGGTTTCAGCAGCTCCCAGGCCCCTCCCCACAGAGGCTGCGGGCACCTCGGGGTGAGGACTCAGGTGCTTGTGACCCCGCTGAGGCCCCAGCTCCGGGGTGGGGAGGGGGAGCACCCCTCCCAGTCTGAACTCGGGTCTTCAGGTGCCAGCCTGCAGATGGGGGGAGAGACAGGGCTGGTGTTCTGGCTCCTCCCCTGAAACGCCGTGTGCCGCCAGGCCGTGGGCATGGCATCTCAAGTCTCAGTTTCCCCACCTTGAAGCCGGGGGTGACTGGCCCAGGCCAGATTGCTCTGGGAAGGCTCTTTGGAGGGAGGGCAGGTGGGGAGAGACATGGGAGCTACTCACACTCCCGCCCCCACCCCCACCCCCGCCATGTTCTCAGGGCCTCGGTGGAGCTGAGCAGAAAGCTGAGCCTGCCCAGGTGGCGGCAGCTCGTCAGACCTGTTCTACTCACCTCGCCTGGGGGAGGGCGGCCGGCAGCTTTGCAGAGGGATTAGCTTGCGGGGAGAAGCGGGGGGATTAGCTTGAGGGGAGAAGCGTTTGTTTTATACTCAATCCCAGAGGGCTGAGCTGGCCCGGATAACAGGCAGCAGCTGGGCATGCCGGTGGGGCCCTGCCACAGAATGGGAGGGGAGGACTCGGAGAAAGGGGGCCCAGGCCTTTAGCCCAGATTAGGGTACCCACAGGCCCAACTGTCAGCCCTCCTTCCTTTCTTGGCCTATCCACACCCCCCACCAACATCCTGAAGCACAGAAAGATCCGCCCCAGCACTTAGAGGCAAAGTCACCCTGGGTGAGGGGCGGGGCCCGAGCCTCGAGGCGGCTGACTGACGTGCTGCCTCCCGGGATCCCTCCTCACCGCCACTCCCAGCTGCCGACCGGGGTTTCAGAGCAACCTGGCACCCCTCCCCGGAGTCTCACATCTCGCTTTCGTTCGGCTGTTTGTGGGTGTTCACGGCAGCGGGAACGTCTGCTCTGCCGGGGACTGTACGCTGTGCTAACTGCCTCCATGGGGAAACGGGGCTCTGGGAAGGAGACCGCTGCCCCAGGTCACAGCGGGCCAGCTGGAACCTGGGCCAGGGCCTTGGCTTCAGCCATTGCTGGTGGCCTGGTGTCTAGGGGAGACCCAGAGCTCACAGCCTGGCTGCGGTGGCCCTGCCCCAGGCCTGGGAGCAGGGGGAGAGGGGCCCCAGGTAAGCCTCGGTGCTCAGCATCAGGGTCCTGCCCGCTCTCCCCGGTTCCCTGCATCATGTCCGCATGTTCTGGGGCCGCAGCCCCGAGCTCAGCCCCTGAGGCGGCCCAGGAGGGGAGATGGCTCCAGCTGGTGTCTGTGCTCCCGGGGACCAGCGGGACCTCTGAGCTCCTGCTGTTTCTGCTGGACCAGGACCCCCGGCTGTGCCTCCCCTGGTCTTGGCTTGTGGGGAGCAGCAGGGGGGAGGGGGAGAGGGGGGGACAGGAGCCTGCGTGAGGAACTGAGGAACGGCTTTACTGTAAACACGCTGCCAGCTTTCAGTAAACACCGGCCTCCTCCCTCTGCAGACAGGAGCTGGGTGGGGAAGGGGCCCTGGAAAGCAGGCTGGGCTGGAGGAACCCAGGGCTGCGGCCGCGGCCTGGCCAGGCCCACCTACGAAAGGGCACGGGCAGAGCTCTGGCACTGAAACGGTTTTCCCATCTTACAGAGGCCAGGGTTCCTCCTGTGCCAGGTACCCACCTGCCACACACACACACACACACACACACTCTGAAACGGTTTTCCCATCTTACAGAGGCCAGGGTTCCCTCCTGTGCCAGGTACCCACCTGCCACACACACACACACACACACACACACACACACACACACACACACACACACACACACACACACATACACACACACACACACACACACACACACTCTGAAACGGTTTTCCCATCTTACAGAGACCAGGGTTCCCTCCTGTGCCAGGTACCCACCTGCCACACACACACACACACACACACACTCACACACACACACACATACACACACACACATACACACACATACACACACACACACACACTCTGAAACGGTTTTCCCATCTTACAGAGGCCAGGGTTCCCTCCTGTGCCAGGTACCCACCTGCCACACACACACACACACACACACACACACACACACTCTGAAACGGTTTTCCCATCATACAGAGTTCCCCTCCCACACCAGGTACCCACCTGTCACCCACCTTGCAGGGCCAGGCTGAGCCGTTGGTAGGAGGGACAAGGTATCAATCAAAATGATAAACCACAGAAAGTCAGAAGGATAGGGACCTGAGCTACTCTGTCCCCACTTCTCATTTGCGGAAGAGGAAACTGAGGCTCGGGACGGGCCTTGTTGTCAGGGTCACCCAGGCATTTCGCCGCCGCGGGGGATCTCCCTACACAGTGCCCGGAGCCCCGGGCCAGCTTCTCCCCAGTGCAGGGCGGGGTGGGATCTCAGCAGATTTGCCTGTTATCAGATCTTCCTGGTGGAGCCGGCACCAGGCACAGGGCAGGGACAGTGGGGACAAGGACACTGGAACGACATGGACTCTGCTTTGTCCCCACAGCGTGAGCTGCGGCCTCGGCTCTGCGCCATGAAGAGGGGCCCCAACGGCTACGGCTTCAACCTGCACAGCGACAAGTCCAAGCCGGGCCAGTTCATCCGGTCCGTGGACCGGGACTCGCCCGCCGAGGCCTCGGGGCTCCAGGCCCAGGACCGGATCGTGGAGGTAACGCCCCTCCTTGTCCCCAGGCACCTCCATCCTGGCGACCTCCCCCGATACAGTCAGCTCCTGGGCAGCCATCGCCCCAGCGGCTCCTTGTTAGCCCTGACGGGTAGACGCCGGAGGGAGGGATGGCGGGCGGGCAGGAGGGAGGGAAAGGTGGGGGGAGGGCGAAGGGACTGACTTCCTCCCTGCCCCCACCTCCCCGGGTGCCTCTTCGCTGAGCAGACACACTGGGCAGTTCATGATTCACCCATTGATCCAGGTGGACATCCGGGCCCCCTCTCCCCACCTCAGAGCTTCCTGCCACCCGTGTCCTCCACGCCAGGCGCAGGGACGGGGTGCGAGGCCAAGTCCTTCTCCCGGGGAGGCTGTGCTGCGGAGAGGAAACGCGAACCAGTGCCTCGGGCGGGTTCCAGAATCTCAGTCTCCGAGCCTCAGGGCTGATCTGAGACTTCTCACTTTACACCGAGCAGGCCAGGGCCAGAGCGGGAGTCCGAGGGCAGGTCCACAGCGAAGCGGGGGCCCAGCCAGGCTTCAGGCCTCGCCCGTCCGTCTTCCCAGCTGTTTGCTCAGTCTCCCCGGCTTTTCCCGTGTCCTGCCTCCCATCTGACCATCCCGTGGGAGGACCCTTGCCTCGTTCAGGACTCCGTGGGCAAGGGGGGCTCCGGGTCCCTGGATTGCCGGCTGGTTGAGGACAAACGGGACCCCTCTGCCTCCTCACCCTGCACCCCCAGGGCTGAGGCCGTGCTGGTAACCATGCCCGCCCCCAGGTGAACGGCATCTGCATGGAGGGCAAGCAGCACGGCGACGTGGTGTCCGCCATCAAGGCTGGCGGCGAGGAGACCAAGCTGCTGGTGGTGGACAAGGAGACGGATGAGTTCTTCAAGAAATGCAAAGTGGTCCCGTCTCAGGAGCACCTGCAGGGTGAGCTGGGCGGGTGGCGGGAGGCCCCCAGGGCAGGGATGTTGGCCGGAGGTCTGGACGTGACTGTCCCAGGTGAGGGGTGACAGCTTCCTGCTGCGATGCTCCCACCCTCTCCTTTAGCGGAGGCCAAGGGTGGGGTGGGGAGGGAGTGGGGCAGAGCTGGCATCAACAGGAAGCCGGGACCGGCCCTGGGTTTCTGACGATGGCCTATGACAGGTAAGCTGGCACCAGGGACGGTGCCAGAGTGCAGCCCTAAAGGAAACCAGGGCTTCCCCCACCACGATCCCAGGGCACGGCTGGTGCCAGGAAAGGGTTAACTCTGGGGCTGCTGCCTGGTCAGATCAGAGTCCAGGACAGGGGCCCCGTGCCTCCCCTCCCTTCTCTCAGGTTGTCTTGGAAACCCAAGCTTGCTGGCTGGAGAGAGCAGTGGGTCCCCCTTAGTCCCTGGGCCCCTGTCCTCCCCACCCCCACAGTCACCCTGCCAAGCCTGGCAGGCCCCTTGCTAAGTGGGGGCAGGGCTGCTCCGCGGGGCAGGGCTGCTCCGCAGGGCAGGGCGGAGTTAAGCAGCTCCCTGCTCTGCGTTTTCTCCCAGGAAAGATGGCTGGTGGAGGGGGGAGGGGAGGGTCAGGGATAGAATCTATGGTCTTCGCAATGGGCGGCCCCTCCCTGAAGGTGTCAGGGTTGTTTGTAAGGGAGGGAAGGGGTTCCACATGAAGGACATGACTTAGGCTGGGATCCCTGGCTGGAGGGGCTGAAGGGAAGGCCCCATCCTATCTAGCTCAATCTAGGGCACATGTGTCAAACACAAGGCCCGCGGGCCAAATCCGTCCCGCCAGGCCTTGCAATGTGGCCCGCACCGCGCTGTCATCACTGCACTCCGCTGCGTTTCCATCACAATGACAGTTTATGACTGTTCAGTAAACCATTCGGCCCGCGATTTAGGCTGGATTTTAGATTTTGGCCCCTTCTCTGATTGAGTTCGACACCCCTAATCTAGGGAGTGGGGGTTAGGGGGAAATCCCTAGCAGACTCTGCATGGGAGGTGGGTGCCACCTCACTCTGTCTCAGTGAGGGGAAACGGAGGCCCAGGCCCCAGCCTCGCTCTTGGGGACATGGCATGAGGGAGACACAGCAGAGGTCTGGATTCCTCCCAGCTCCTCAGATTCCTTCCCGGCCTCCTCCAGCACCTTCTCCCCTCAGCGCCAGGGCACCAGCCCTCCCCTCCCTCTCTGGCTGCCCAGACTGTGGTCCGGGTGGGGTGGGGTGAGGGGATGTACATTGATGTTAAGCTAAGTTCAGAGATGGCACAGCTCCCCTGGCAGCCTCGTGGGGCCTCTGGCCTGAGTGAGCCCATGGGGGTGACCCCAGGCAGCGTCCGCTCCCTCTGACCCCTCCCGCCACCTCCGTTCCCACTGGCTGGGACACTGCCCTGAGCCCTCGGTCCTCTCATGTCCACGCTGGCCGGTAGGCTGAGGCAGGGGCGGGCACCAACCACAGCCCGGCTGCGGTGCTAGTTCCAGTGACCCACTGGACCAGAGGCTCCGGGGCCAGAGCCCGGAACCACTGCTCTGAGCCGGTTTCCCCGGTGATTCTCAGGCGGCCGCCGGCCTTCTCTGCCCGTCCCAGAACAATGCTTTGCTCAAGCAGCTGATTCTCCGTCAGCGGCTCGTGCGATTGGTTTAGGGGGCAGAGCCAGCACATTCTTCCTAAGGAAAGTGAGTAGGAAACGTCTGAGCATTGTGAGGCCGAGGGATGGTGGGGTGTGGGGACGGCAGGTTGTCTTGGAACCTGTCACACTCCCGCGCGCTCACCGTGAGAGACTGACCAGGGACGAGATCTCTCCCAGCCCCGCCCCTCGCCCTCTCCACGCCCCACCCGCCCGCGTGCCCAGAGATCTGGACTCACCTCTGCTTTTTCCCTCACTAGGTCCCTTGCCCGAGCCCGTTACCAACGGGGAGATCCAGAAGGTAAAGGTGAACCCTAACTGCTTCTCTGGCTCCTAGGCTGGGGCTGCGGGAGGAGGGGCAGGGGGTGTGGTTGGGCGGACCGCCCGCTGGCCCAGGTTAACTCATTTCTGAGCTATTCCCTCCCGAGTCCACACTGTACACCTACTGTGTGCCCTCGACCCCTGCCTGGGACCAAGGAGAGGCCTGGCACGCCCCTCTGCACCCCGCCATCCTGGGGACAAGCCCCGCCTCCAAGTCCCCCACACAGAAGAGGCCATTCTTCCCCCCAAGAACAGAGCAGCAGTGTCTGCCGCCTGCTGCCCGGCTACTTCCAGTCTGGGCTGGGAGAACAAAGCCCCCGCGCCTCCTCCTTCCAGGCAGAAGGGAAGGGAAGGCGGTGGAGGCCGGAGCCGAGATGGCAGGGCCCGGTGCCAGCCCGGGCCCCAGGAACCAGGCAGGGGCTGAGCGCCAACTGAAGGCCTGGCCAAGGCCTTCGCTCTGGGGTGCACTGATCACCAAGGCTCTCTGCGGGGTCTGCTCAGACTCCCCTGCCCGGGGGCACAGTGGAAGGCGTCCCTGGACCTCCTGTCACTCCATTTGGGGTGCAGAATCTCATGCACTTTATCTCCCTACTCCAGAGCCCCCCCCCTTTTTTTAAAAATATATTTTATTGATTTTTTACAGAGAGGAAGGGAGAGAGATAGAGAGCTAGAAACGTCGATGGGAGAGAAACATCGACCAGCTGCCTCTTGCACACCCCCTACCGGGGATGTGCCCGCAACCAATGTACATGCCTCTGACCGGAATCGAACCCGGGACCTTTCAGTCCGCAGACCGACGCTCTACCACTGAGCCAAACCGGCTTCGGCTCCAGAGCCCTTTTTAGCTGCTTTGGGTTAGTTTTAAGATGACTGGGTCAAATCCAACTAATGAGGTGGGCAGCAGGAGATTCAAGAAGCATCACGGGGTTTCCCACGCCCCAGGAACCTCTCCTTGCTCACTGGCCCAAAAGGCAGCAGGCCTGAAGGCCTCCCAGGGAGGACGGGGAACGGGCAGTTCAGCTGATCCCCGGATGGTCCTCCCAGCCTGCACCCAGGCTCCCCTCTGGTCCTTGGGGGAATGTAACAATGGAAGTCCCCGAGGGCCGCGGGCAGGCTCAGGCCCTGGGCTCAGGGGAAGGTTCTCAGACAGGCACCTGTCTTCCTTGGAGCCTCCCTTTCCTGCTCAGGACTTCCCCAACCCACCCCCCACCAACCCATACCTGTCCTCTCTGCCAGGAGAACAGTCATGAAGCCCTGGCCGAGGTGGCCTCCGAGAGCCCCAGGCGAGCCCTGGCACGATCCACCTCCAGTGACACCAGCGAGGAGGTAGGCCGGCGGGTGGGCAACGGGCGGCACTGGGTTGGTGGCACCCCGTTCTCGGGCCACGCTGGTGCCTGGCACGCCAGCCCGCCTCGGAGGTCACATGTTGAGCCACGTTCTGTTCTTGTGACCCGGCTTCCCTGGCACTGCCCCAAGGAGCCACCTCTCCGAGGCCGAGGACCCGGAAGCCTCGCCTGGCACTGACTCCCGCTCTGCCTTCCTCCTTCCTCCAGCTGAACTCCCAAGACAGCCCCAAGAAGCAGGACTCCGCGGCACCCTCATCTACCTCCTCCTCCGACCCCATCCCAGACTTCAACATCTCCCTAGCCGTGGCCAAAGAGAGGGCCCACCAGAAGCGCAGCAACAAGCGGGCCCCGCAGATGGACTGGAGCAAGAAAAACGAACTCTTCAGTAACCTCTGAGCGCCTCCCGCGCCACCCAGCGAGCTGACAGGGCTGGGCCCGCACCCCCCACCCCCCACCCCCTCCCCACTGACCCCCGAATGGCAAACAAATCAGCACCAGCAGCCGCCTCTTGGCAAAATGTGATTCTTCTCAATAACTTTGATTGATCAAGGACTGGATTGCAGCGGCCACAGCATTTCAAGGGCTGTGGGCTGGGCATCTTGTTTTTGTTCATTTTTGTTTTGTTTTGTCTTGTTCTGAGTGCAGAGTAGAGGGATTTTTGTCTCCTGATTAACATGATTTTCCAGGTTGCTGCATCCAGGACATAGCAGCGCCTCAGCCTTAAACTTTCTTGTTTCTACTCCCACCGCAGAAGCCCCGGCCGGTGGGGGAGGGTGTGGCCACTCCCTGGCCAGCCCTGAGCCAGGCACCACCATTGTAAGGAAACTCCACCAGAAATTCACTGGTTTCTGCAAACCGCCTCAGCCTCCGTGTCTTCTGTAGAGCTCGGTCCTCCTGGCCTAAGAGACGGCAGACCTGGGTTCCCAGGCTGGCCTCTGGCTGAGGGGAGGGCAGGCACCCCAGGCCTGGCAGTGGGAGGGGCCTGGGCCTGTCTGTAACTGTCCGGTGGCCCCACCCACCAGTTCCAGGTGCTTCCCTGGTGGTCAGCGTGCACAGGCATGTTGGTCCCAGGAACTAGGGGCCCAGAGCACGTGCTGAGGACGCCCTGCCTTCCTGAGTCCAGGAGCTTTGGGGGTGTGACCCGCTGGGGCCTGCCTGGGAAAGGGAAGCCGTTGGCTTTCATCCTCCCGCCCTCGTCGATGGGGTGCAGGATTTCTGGGAGTGGCCAGAGCTGGCGCCAATATGCTCTTATCTGGCCCTGATTGGAGGGCAGTTCCCAGGCCGAGGCGAAAACAAACGGCCCTCCGGGGCCCCAGGATCTGCCCTGTGGCAGGTGGGTGCACCGACTTGCCAAGGGTGAAGGGCCCTGTTCCTCCTGGAGACCCAGGGCCATTATGCCTCTGGCTCTGGCAGCCGCGTCCTGGAGGTCTGCCAGGTGGCCAGAGCGCTGGCTGCCGGGCCAGGAGCTCAGGGCAGGTGCTCAGAGAGAAAGGAGTTGGCCTCAGGCAACTCTCCACCCAACCAGGAAGCCTCCGAAGCCAGGCTCCTGGGACTGAGAACGGGAGACTGTGAACCCGGTAGGGGGCCTGTGGAGAGAAGAGCCGGTCACTGGCCATCTTGTCCTCTTGTTTAGGTTTAGGGCCAAAATCCTTTCCCACCAGTCGCCCCACGCCCTGCTCAGCTGGCCTGGCCTGGCCCCCACTCTTGCCTCTGCGCTTTGACCCCTGGTGGAGACCCAGAGGACTGCCCCGCTAGGTCACCTACTGGGTGGGGAACCCTGGGGACAGGTGGCTGACAGAACCAGGGATGTGGGGCTGGAGGCCTGGTGTAAAGGGGGCCCCGGCAAGTGGAGTTTCTATCTTGGTTTCAGGTGTGTTTTAGGTTCTATTTTTACAGGACCGAGAGAACAGAACCGAGAGGCCTCAGCATTAGTTCAGACTCTTGCCGTCAAAAGCCCAGGCCTTAGGCAAGCTGCCTGAACCCGCTTGGGGCTCCTACCCTTGAAAATGCCCTAGATGCCCTCCCGAGCCTCTTCCTGGCTCTTTCCTTGATACCGCTGCAGATTATGACAAGGAGGGCCTGGGCACAGAAGTCAATGGGTGTCCCCCTTGCTCTGAGGTGACCCAGCTCTGTTAAGCACAGGTTGCCCGGCAGCCATGCCATCCCGAACCGGTACCTCTGGCGCCCCCTTGTGGCGTTGACAGGTGCAGCGGCTCCCGAAGGTGGAGGGACAGAGGCAGGCAGGACACAGGTGCCTTCAGGCCTCAAACTCAGCAGAGGGGTGCCCTCCAGCCACAAGGAGCTGTACCCAGAACTAATTTACTCAAAACTGGCTCCAAAGAGAAGGGGAGCAAGGATTCTCACCCATTTTCTAGGCCTCCTACAGGGCCACCCTCATTGGTTTCCTAACTTCTCAGGGCCACACCCAACCTGCTTGCACAGGATGACAGGACTGAGCTGCCCCGTCGCTCCCACGCCGGACGGGACAGATGCTGCAGGTGGCCTGACAGGCTGCGGGCAGTGAGGCACGGAAAGCTGGCTGTGCAGTGCACTTTACTCAGGCCAGGGCCGTGGCCCAGAGTGGCACCGCTGGCCTTCCAGGAAAAGGGAAGTCCAGCCTGTTCACCAGGCTCCTCCCCAACCCCCGTTATCTCCAGCTCTGCTCTGCCGCGCCGCTTCCTGTGGACTCATGCCGGACACCCCAGGTTCTCAGAGTCTTAAGTGCAGGTTTGGCCGGGAGGAGGGGCTCCTGGAGTCGCTCAGGCCCACTGCCAGTCTGAGGGTGGAGGTCAAGGCAAGTCCTGCCCCGAGTCTGAAGGCCCCTGAGAGATCCCCAGCCCAGAGAAGGCCGGCCAGTCCATTCACTTCCTGGTGCAGGGCTCTCAGCCGGCTCCTAGGACCCATCTCTATAGGGCTGCTCTTCCACGTGGCTGGTCTGCTCCAGAAGCCACTGCCGCTCCGGCTCACTCATCATCAGCCTGAGTGTCACCTCCTGGAAGACGCTGCTCACAGCCACCTAGGACAGCCAGAGAGATCTAAGCTACAGCCCCAAGTTCTAGCACCAGCGGCCCCACCACCCAGACCCAGGCTTCACCTCCAACCAGCCTCATCCTTACCTGCTCAAAGTGAAGCTTCTGGAACATCCGGATGCTCGGTTCATTTCCTTGCCCAATTTTAGCCTCAAACTTGGTCAGACCTAGCTTGGTCACTCCTCCCAGAGGAGATCAGAAAGGGACAAGCTGCAGGATGAAAGTCCCTCCAACACCCTCTGCCCCACCTGTCCCAGTGTGCAGGGCAGGCGCCCGTCACCGTGCCCCCCCCCCCCCCCCCCCCCCCGCACCTCAGACCTGAAGAAGGCTGACTCCCAACGTGCGCCAGCCCTCGCCTGCGGCCTGGCCACCTCCCCACGCTCTGCCCTGGCCTCCTTACCATAGGACATCATCATGAGCGCGGCCTCGGTGCCGAAGCCCTGGCCCCTGCAGCTGGGCTCTAGGGGAAAACGACAATCATGGACACCATGTGCCAGGCACAACATGGGATCTCATTTAATCCTCACAATCCTGCCAAGTCCGTGAACATTATTCCCATTCTGCAGATGAGGGACAGGCACGCAGAAGGCAGATGACTTGCCCAAGGTCTCAGAGTGGAGACACCCAGCAACCTGACCCCAAAAGCTGACCCTTTAACCTCAACGTGCTGCCTTATGAGGAGTCGTACAGCCTCTTAGGAGAAGGCTAAGGACCAAGAAGGACACAAACTGGAGGGCTCCTCCCACAGCCTGGAGAGATGCTCCAGGGAAGATCAACTATTTTAGAGGATTCCCTAGACCACCCCCAAAACAGGGCAGAGTGAAGTTCGAAGACCCTAAGTCCAAAGGTTGGGTTCACATCTACGCATAAGACAGGAACAGAGTGACCCATAGGCTAACAGTCTGCCCCAGCCAGGTGCCGGGCTCCCCAATGCCAGAGCCTCCCACTGAGCCCTGGAGGCCCCTAGGCAGCCTCGGCTGCCTTAAGGTTCAGCAGATCCAAGGCCCAGAGGGAGGAAACGAACCTGCAATCATGACCTCAATCTCCCCCAGAGTGGGGTCCCCGAGATCTGTGAGGAAGAGGTTCACGTCTCCCGCCATGCAGCTCTCTTCGGTGCTGCCTGGCTGGGCCTGCCACTTGGCTGCATCCAGCACGATGAAGGTGCACTCTGAGGAGGGAGGCACAGTGTCATGGGCACGCCCGGTGAGGCCAGTCTCCCTACCCACGCCAGAGAGCCAGCTACCAGCGTCTCCGAGTCTGGCAGGAGAAAGGGGGGCCAGAGCTTCCGGCAGCTAATTAAAAAGCCCTAAATCTGCCTCTTGCAGGAAATGGTGGCCTTCTCCAAACAGAAAGTGTATTTTCAGACAGCAGGGGACTCCAAGAAGAGCAGTAATCACACCGGGCTTCCAGCAAAGGATGTGCGGGCCAGGCCCTCAATTACAACCACAGCCCAAAATACTTCCTCTAAATCCTCCCAGGCCTGGCCCAGGGTGTCCGCCACAGGGACCAGCTTCAGCAGCATCAGGCTTTTCCCAGTCTCTGTGCCTCAGCAGGGCTACAGCTGGGAAAGAATGGGAGGGGCCCTCCCGCTGCCAGCCCAGCCCAGCCCAGCCCAGGGTCTGGCCTCTCACTGTCCGCATCTTCCCGCCAGCTGCGCTGCATCGCATACTCCTGCTCCAGGGTCAGCGGCTCGGAGGCTGTCAAACGCTGCAGCTCCTCTGATTTCATCCACTCGTGGTACCTGCATGGGCAGAGGGGGGCCTCAGCAGGTTGGACTGATTCAGGAACACGGAATCTGACACTGTGAGATGAAGAAAGAGGGTAGAAAAGAGAACCCCATCAGCTAACTCAAGGGCTCAGAGAAGCCCCAAGACCTAGAGGCAGGCTAGACCGACGAGAGCAGCAGGAGGGGTCAGTTCTATCTGTCCAGTTTCCAGGGGTCAGTGTGGGGAGTGCTATAAAGCCAAACAGTCCTCGAATTCCTGATGGGAAGAATATGGCAAGCTGACCACTGCAAAGAAGGCTGGACAGATCTCCACAAAGGCTGGGCACAGGGAATCCCCAAAAAGAAAGCTACAAGTAGAGAATACACCCCTACACGACCACTCTTCCAGTCTACAGACTTACCCAACTGCCTTCCAAATAGCCCCACCCTGCAACTCAGTCCCCGCCTTTTAAAACAGGAGACATCAAACCACCTCATCAGCCCAGTGTATGACAAGCTAACTTAAAGTCCCCAAGAACAGAATCTCCACTGGCACCAAAGAAATGTCACTACTTCACAATCAGGCGAGAAAGACAATTTTGTTCTTACATTTAGTGTGCATTAACTAATTCCTTGCTGAGAGGGCAAAAGGGAACTTGGCTTCACTGTTCACTTTTTCCTGCACATAATTCCTCTCACACCAATGCTTCTCCTCAGAGGAGAGCCTCTGACATTGGGGCTGCACCTTGGAGAGCTGCCTCGCACCCACGGCGGGTGGAGCGGTTACCTGGGCACATGCTCTGCGGTGTAGGGTACCAGCACCACCTTCTTCCCCAGGAGCGAGACGTTCTGATTTAACCTCATGGTAGCAGCCTGAGGGTGGGGAGGGCAAAGACTTCAGCCCAGGCTCTCAACTCACTGAACGCCGCCTCCAGGGGCCGAGGTGTCCTTTCCTTGGAAAGACTGCAGAGAACAGGGGCTCTGAACCCTTTGCGAGAAAGCAGCTGACCGGCTAAAGATAGCGAAACAATCCTTGATTGGCATCTTAAAGAGCCCAGACGGAGCTGCCATTCCTGCGGGTTCCTTCCGCCCCACCTCCCAGAACTTCGAGGCCTCTAACCCAAAGCTCCCATCACTCGCCCAGTCCTGAGACGCCGCCCCAGGATCAATTTCCAGCCGGGCCCTTCAACCTATTTCCAATCACCCTCCTGGCCTCCGGCCCTCCGTCTCCCACTTCCCAAGCCCGGTCACCAGGCCACTTCAGGGTGGGCGAACTCCGGTTCTCAGCCCCCTCCTCTAGGGGCGGAGCTACAGGATACTCTCCGGAACCCTCACCCCGTACCCCAGCCACTGGGGTCCCCGGGCGGCCAAGCTCACACCCACTTCCTCCGCCACGAAAGCGTCCCTGGAAGAACGTGGGCGCCACCTCTTCCCCCTCGCCCAGCTTCCCGGCCCGGCCGCCGGGCGCCCCTCCCGCACACGCCGGGCGCACGCCACGCCCACTTCCGCCACGCAGACGGCAGCCGCCGAGGCCCAATTCCGGTCCCGCCCCCATGAGGCGCCCAATCAGCGCGCGCCGGCCAGGTGGGCGCCGGCGCCGGCGCATGCGCGCTGAGGGCGCTGTGGGCGCGGGTGCGGGACAGCTGGCGCCGGCAGCTGCCCAGGGGCTGGAGGCGGCGGCCGCGGCGGCCCGGAGCGCGCCACGCCGCAGGTAAGGGGCCGCGCGCGACGTGGGTGGGCCGGAGCGGCGCAGATTCCGGGTTCTCTCTGGAGGGAGGGAGGAAGAAGTCGGGGAGAGGCTCGGAACAGGGGCTCCTAAGTAGAGGGGGAGGCTTGAGGGTGGGGAGCCCCACGGCAGGGAGGGCAGAAAGCAGGTCAGGGGTGCAGGAAGTGGAGGCCCCATTCCAAAGGAGAGGCTTTGAGGCGAGGCGTTGGGTTGGAGGGCGGCCTGGGGACGCCCCCAGCCCCTCGTCCGAGGCGGAGGAGGCAGACAGTGACGGGGCTGCCCGGCGCGGTAGTGAGCCCGCTGTTCCTGCATTCACTGGGGAGCCAGCGTCCCGGTGTGGCTGGGGGCGTTGGGGGCGGGTGAGGCTGGTGGCTTCCAAGGCCTCTCCTATGACTCGGGGTCCGAGTGGCATGGGATACGTTCCTGCCTGCACGGCCAGGAAACACCAGCCAGGTGGGAGTCACCCCGGGATAGCCGGCTGCCTTGTGACCAGCGTGGAGACCATGAGTTCCGGGGGGTCTGCAGACCGGCCGCCACCTCCGGCGAGGTCCGTCCGAAAGCTGACGTTGCTCTTCTCCTTAGGGAGCCGCAGCTGCCGCCGCCCCCGCCAGGAGGAAAGCCCCGCCCCGCCGGCGCTCCCTTCCTCGCTTTTGGAAATGGCGGGTGAAATCACGGAGACCGGGGAGCTCTATTCCCCCTACGTGAGTGTTCCTTCCCCAACCCGTTTTGCCCACATGAGTTGCCCCCGGCTTCTGAGAAGCGCTCTGCCCGCTGTGGCCTGGCCTGGCGCGTGCCTAGACCCTGGGGAGAGCGGGTGAGGGACCTCCATTCAGCAGCAGCCTGTATGGCTCAGGGTTAATGAGATTCAGGTCTGATCACCTGTTTAAAAATATATATTTTCATTGATTTCAGAGAAGAAGGGAGGGGAGAGATAGAAACATCAATGATGAGAGAGAATCATTGATCAGCTGTCTCCTGCACGCCCCCTACTGGGGATCAAACCCCGATCCAGGCATGTGCCCTTGATCTGAATTTAACCCAGGACCCGCTGCCGCTCTATCCATTGAGCCAAACCAGCTAGGGCAGGTTTGTTCACGTTTTAGATGTGGATCAGAGAGTGGTCAGGAAAACTAAATTGACTTGCCAACTCTTCATCTTGACCTCGGGGTCACTACCCTCTTCGCACTGTGCTGTCTGTTCTTCAAATGGTCAGTGATGGGCAGCTGCTGGCTGGGTTTTGCTCAGCTCAGCGGTTTGAAACTTCGTGGGTTTTCAGCTGAATTTTAAGTTGCACAACTTTTATAGTCTTGGATGGCGTAAGAGGCAGAGAAAGCACGCAGACGCTTCCAGCTGCAGTTGGTGGAGTCTGTAATTAGAACAACTAGAATGATTGATTTCTCCGTCTTGGATTTGTGTTACCCCCCTTCCCCCCGCCCCACACACACTCAGTTTATCTTCTTTGTGTAATATAAGATTGTTCATGTTTATATTACGGCATGCTCTTGCCTGAATAAGTAGCTGGAGGGTGGGAATACTCAAAGGATTGACTCACCTTGCTACCAGGTATCCAGGGAAAGCAGCACTGTCTAAAGTAGCAAGAGTCCTCTTTCCAGCCCTAGCTGGTTTGGCTCAGTGGGTAGAGCATCAGCCTGCCAACTGAAAGGTCCTGGGTTCGATTCCAGTCTAGGACAATTGCCTTGGTTGTGGGCTCGATCCCCAGTAGGGGGCGTGCAGGAGGCAACTGATCAATGATTCTCTCATCATCATTGATGTTTTTATCTCTTTCCTTCTCCCTTCCTCTCTGAAATCAATAATATATATATATTTATTTTATTTTATTTTATTTTTTAGAGTCCTCTTTCTAGAACTTACCTAGCCTTTAGCTTTGCACTGCCCTTCCCAGCCTGGGAGGCTGCTCTGTTCCCGTTAGCGTCCCAGCCTCTCCAGCTGTGGTGTGATGGACGAGGAGGGACCTCAGAACAGCTGGAGAAGCCTCCACAGAGGTCCTCCCGCTGGCCTGTGCCCTCCGTGTGCGGCCTCCGTGTGCGGCCTCCGTGTGCGGCACGGAGGCAGCCTTCTTCGCCTCGGCACCGTGCCGGGGGAGTCTTTCTTGAACGTGGAGTGAACTGAGCCGTGTCCCAGCACACGGTCTCCTTTCGGCTCCGGCAGGGAATGTCCGCACTGTCCGTACCAGTCACCGGGGTCGCTGCTGCTCGGACATGGGAGAGTTAGAGCTGAGTCATTTCTGCGACAGTTTGAGGAAGGAAAGCCTGATAAGCTCGCTTTTCTTGTGTCTCCCGCTGAAACGTAATCATTTCACACGTCAGCGTGTGCCCACAGGAAATTGGGCAGTGAACCCCGAGGCCTCGGTGGGTTCTGCTTTAAAAAAAAAAGAAGATGTTTTTATTGATTTTAGAGAAAGAGGAAGGGAGAGGGATAGATGGGAACATCGATGAGAGAAACACACGCAGTGGTTGCCTCCTGCACAGAGCCAGGCCCAGGGGAGGCTCTGGGAAGGGCTGAGCAGACGGGAGAATGAGCGGAACTGAGCCAGCCAAGGGCTCGTTCCCGCACTGGGACGCACCAGCCTCCCACACTGAAGTCGCCGGCAAAGGGGGAAAGGAGGGTGTCACGGACTCAGAGTAACTGTGCAAAGCGGCTCTGGGAACCCCCGCTGTTTCTCACCGGCCCCCACCCTCGGGGTCTCGAACCCCACCCCCCACCCCCCCCACCCCCCGGCCGGGGCTCCCAGCGGGTGCCGCACGGGGGTTGTGGTGATCCAGTCAGGCGCTGTGGAAGGTGAGCCAAACTTGTTTTCTGGGATCATAGATGAGGGTTCCTGTCTGGCTGTGTGCCGCCTGAGGCGTGAGGGAGCGTTGTAACTAACGAGTTACATGAATTAGAGTTGAGTTTAAGCCCTGATGTCCATGACCCTGTGATTGCCCTGGGTTGGTGGCCAGGGACTAGCAGGAAAGGGGCGCGGCTGCAGGTGGGCGCAGGCTCCTTTTTGGGGTGATGAGGTGGGATTGGAGGGTGATGCTGGCTGCACAAACTCAGGAATACACTGAAAACCACTGAACTGTGTTTTAAAGGGATGGATCTCCTGGCTTGTGAATTCTATCTCAACTTTTTTTTTTTTTTTTAACATATTTTATTGATTTTTCACAGAGAGGAAGGCTAGAGGGACAGATAGTTAGAAACATCGATCAGCTGCCTCTCCCCCTCCCAACTGGGGTTGTGCCCACAACCCATGTACATGCCCCTGACCGGAATCGAACCCGGGACCCCCCAGTCCGCAGACCGACGCTCTATCCACTGAGCCAAACCGGTTTCGGCCTATCTCAACTTTAAAAAACAAAGACCCGAGGTTCGTGCGGGGAGGAAGACTGAAGGGGAAACAGCAGGAATGTCGGGGTCCCAAAGAACGGTGGCAGGATGGGCGGAGAGGTGGCCTGGGCCGCGTGCCCGGCGAGCTAGGAAAAATGGAAGACCCCGGTCTGGTGGGCACAGAGCTGACATCTGACGCAGCTCTGAACCATGAAACGACGAGAGGTGGGATGGTGGCGGGAAAAATGGAGATAAAACTGGTCCTCGGAGACACTGGAAAGGATCGATGGGATGTGGGGGTTCCGTCATCCGAGTGTCGGCGTCTGGTCCCCAACATCCGGGTGCAGAGCAGGCCTGTGAGCACCTGGGGGGCAGGCTCCCCGTTCCCTGCCTCCCTGGCTGGAGGCGGGCCGCTGTGGTCCTGCTGCCCTGGGCCGTCCTCGGGCGCCGTTGCGGGCAGAGGTCAGCTAATGTCTGGGCTTGACTGTCGCTTCCGTGTGCCCCAGGTTGGACTGGTGTACATGTTTAACCTCATCGTGGGCACCGGCGCGCTCACCATGCCCAAGGCCTTTGCCTCGGCCGGGTGGCTCGTCAGCCTGGTCCTGCTCGTGTTCCTGGGCTTCATGAGGTAAGAGGCTCCAGGGCCGGGGCCAAGCTGAGCAGCAGCCCGGGAAGGCAGGGCGGTGGGGAAGCGTCCTCGGGGGCAGGGAGATGTCAGTTGCCCCAGGTGGGGGGAGAGCCGGGGGTGGGGGAGGGGAGGCGGATACAAAGGTCTCCAGTGCCTCCGGCAGGTGGGGCGGCGCACAGCCCGGACCAGCTCAATGGGAGCCTGGAATGCCTCACGTGGTTCCTCCCGCCGGGCCTGCCCTCGTGTGCATTCTTGAGAAAATGCTACTGAGCCACCGGAGGGAATCTGGCAGGTGTGGAAGGTGCGGGGGAATTAGCGTGGGGTTTAGAATTTGCTTAAGACGGTCCATGGAGTAAGCGGTAAACTACACACGGCACAGGCGTTGCCGGGTGCTGCCCTCCTGCCCGGCAGCACCCAGGAGGCCGGCGCCTCCCAGCCTCTCAGGGTCCTCTCCCGGGGCCACGTGTGGTGTGCAGGCAGCGGTCTGACGCCGGTGAGCCCGTGCCCACGCTGCTGAGGGACCCGGGACTAAGCCCTCTCCCCCGGGCAGCAATCCACAAGCTCTAAAGAAGAGGCGGAGGCGCCCCCTGTGAACACCCGGAGAGGGGCCACCGGGCGGCTGGAACCCCGCTGAGCAGCAGGGAGCCCTGCCCTGCACCCTCCTTTCTGGTGGGAGACAGGCAGTGAGCAGTCGATAATAGATAAGCCGCAGAGCAAGTCAGAAGGTGATGCGGTAACAAGGAGACCAAACCCCACAAATAGTGCGGGGAGGGAGGCGGTGAACACAGTTTCAGGTCGGTGCTCGGGGGTCACGGAGGGCGGCATTGGAGCAGATGGCAAGGAGAGGGAGAGGAAGAAGGAAACATCGGTAGTTGAAGCCGACTGAGACCTTGAAGAGGCCCCGTGGGGGGGGACAATGCCGAGTTTTTCAGTTCATGCGTTTTCTTTAGGGTGGTCTGGGGGCCAGCCTCGGTGCTGTGGGCTGTGAGCCTCGGCAGCCGAGAGCCCTAGAAGCCCTGTCCTCCTGTGACTCCACCGTCCCCTCCAAAAGCCCTTCAGCACCGGCAGCCGTCCGAGTGGGGAGTGATTATCGGGGGCCCCGGGCAGGGGCCACCATGCCCCCGCCTCGCTCACCCCATTTATATTTGAACATGATCAATGAGTTGGCTTTGTGCGACCATGAGAAGCCTCTTCACGCCTTAATTAAGATTGATTTCAGTTTTACTTCCAAAAAGAAGGGAAAATCTAAAGCCTTAAAATGGTCACTTAGGCAGGATAATGAGGAACCGTCCCAGGAGCCGGCGAGCCGGCTGCTGAATCTCCCCCTCCCCCCTGCTCCAAACGCGGAGTGGGTATGGATTTAACTCCTGCCGCACCTGCCACCTGACTGCTGGCTGGGCAGGCCGCCTGGGCAGGCGACAGCAGTCGGAGGGCTCAGGGTCAAGTCCAGCGGCGCAGCCGTGCTGTCCAGGAGGCGGCGGCGGGGACAGAGCCCCCCCCCAGGCCTATGGCGGGAAGGCAGCCTCTCCTGTGCCTCCTGCCGACAGGAGCATCCGTGCGTCCCAGCTGTCGTCTGGGCCTCTCCGGTTTCTTCCCGGGAAGAGAGAGGGTGATTTGTCACCGCAGTCTGACTTCTCCCCAGACGTCTGGGGCCGCCTCCCGGCCTCCCTTCTGATTGAGGCCATAAAAACGCAGGCCTATTTTCCTATCAGCCAGGTTATTAGGAAAGTCAGAGCGCACCGCCCCAGAGAGGGCGGCGAGGACAGGTTCCGGAGCCAAGCGATCCTTTTCAGTTATCCAGCCCGGGTCCGTCCTCGGCGTGTCATTGGGACTCGTCCGCTCGCCTGTGTCCCAGCGGGCAGAGCGGAGGCTGCCTCTGCCCTTCCCGGCACCTTGCCGGCCCGTGGACCTGCCTGCCCTTCCTGACCCGGAGCCCAGGCGGGGTCTGGCCCCCCACCCCTGCCCCAACAGGCCCCTTTTGGGGTGCGGCACTGCATGGCCCTGTGGCCTCTCCCGTGCCTCCGAAACATCTTTTACGTGGGGACGGGGACATCGAGGCAAGCACACGAGGCAGCCTGTGTACACACACACAGACACACACACACACACAGACACACACTCACACACACACACACACACACACAGACACACACACACACACACACACAGACACACACACACACAGACACACAGACACACACACACACACACACAGACACACACTCACACACACACACACACACACAGACACACACACACACACACACACACACACACACAGACACACACTCACACACACACTCTTCTGATCCGGCCAGACCCATCGTGAGGGTTTCCCAGGAACCGGCTCCAAGGAGAGACAGAGTTTCAGTCTGGTCAGGTGTGGTCAGTCATCAGGCCTTTGAAATGACTTTTCCTCTTTTCTTTGTTCCTCCCCCAACCCTCCCGCCTGCCTTTGGCGATGAACGCGTGGTCTTCCCCCCGCAGCTTCGTGACGACGACCTTCGTGGTGGAGGCCATGGCCGCAGCCAACGCGCAGCTCCGCTGGAAGAGGATGGAGAACCACCAGGTGCGCCCGCCGCCCTGGTCTTCGGGCAGGGTCTCCGTCCACCTGTGTGCCGCTCACAGGCCCCTCCTTCCCCTCCCGGCGCCTGGAGGACCGGCGTCCACAGCGCTAGGAGGGACCCTGCCCCAGAGCAGAAGTTTAGCCGCCACCTGAGCTCACAGCTTAGACGCCTGCAGCCTCTGCCTTTCCCGTGTGCCCCACCTTGACCTGGCTCAGTCCCGGTGAGCGTCTGCACCAGGATGTGTGCCTTGGCCTTGGCCCCGACGTCCGAGTGTGCCTGCGCCTTCTAATGTGGCAGAGTGGGCGTGTTGAAGCTTCCCGGTCAGATCCCTTCCCGAAAGAAATAACAGAGGAGGCAGGTGCTCCGTTGTCGCGGGGTTTCCCGCAGTAACAGGCCCCCTTTCCTTTGCCTGCTCCCCTCCTCCCTGTCGCATCCCGTCCCAGGAAGAAGATGACGACCACTCCTCCACGGCCTCTGACAGCGACAGCCTCCAGGACAACTACGAGCGGGCGGAGCGGCGGCCCATCCTCTCTGTGCGTAAGTCCCGGGTTCCCGGCCAGCCCGCGCTTCCCGTGGAGGGAGAGGCCTGGGGAGTCTGCAGAGCCCCCGTGGCCCTTCCCGCCTGCAGGAGGCTCCTGGGAAGGCTCTGGAGTCCAGGGCCCAGGCTTCCCCTGCAGGCTCAGCACTTAGTGACGCTTGCAGCTTGGGCAAGGTGCCTGACCTGGGCACCCCAGCTTCCGCCCCTGCTGCGCTGTGGAAATAATGCAATGCCTGTTTCAGTGCTGGTGCACTCTGGAAGTGCGAGTAAATCTAGGCTCTCTGAGTTCTCTCCTTCCTCCCATCCCACTACACACACACACACACACACACACACACACACACACGTACTGCACATGTCCGAGAGTGATCTCTGCTCTGGCCGAGCAAGGGCTAAGCGTCCCCCTGAGATCCCTTTCTAGATATTTCAAACAATAAGCATTGGGAAAAGTTTTCTCAAGAGTGTAAAACACAGGGATTTCATTATTCTGAAATCTGAGCTCTGTAGCCCCTTCTAGAAGCCAAGTGAACTGACCTTCTCTCCCTTGTTCTCTGGCTCCACAGAGAGACATGGATCTCCAAACCTGTTTGAAATCACAGACCGGGTGGAAATGGGACAGATGGCCTCCATGTTCTTCAGTAAAGGTACTCGTTATTTCCAAGGTGGGCGAGGGAGGGGGAGCTAGCGCCACCTACTGACCCAGGCGCCTGGAATGCGGGTCCCACCTGGACAGTGGGGTGGGGCAGGCGATGAGAGGAGCGATGGCTGACCTGCTCCCAGTGCTCCAAGGAGCCAACTTGCCGAGACTCAGGTGGTTTCCTTGGGTTCCTCTCAGTCGTCGGCGTTAGGAATAAAGAGGCGGCCGCTTATCTCCTGCTGGACACAGAGGTGGGCAGTCCTAGCAGCTGCCCAAGGAAGGGACTCACGGAGGCCGGCTGGTCACTTTGTGCCTCTTGATTGCCTCTGACTTGTCTCTGCTTCTGGACTCTTCTGTGTAGAACACAGAGCAGGAGGCTTTGCTGCGTGTTTCTGTCTCTTCCTGGTGGCCAGCAGAGGGCGCTAGGAGCCCGCGCACAGGGCTGCTGTCTGGGATCTGAGCGTCTTAGCACCTCTCCCCACTCCCTACCTGTGCAAGTCTTGGGATTCCTGGCTCTTCCCTTCAGGGGCTTGGCTACAAGCTCACGGGATCCAACCCGGCTCAGGTGCTGGCTTGTTGGGTGTTTCACCGATACATCTTACACCTCCGTGGCAAATCTCGTTCTTTTGGAAGAAGAGCATGTAAGAGTTTTGTTTTCTAATGCTCGGACCTGTTTTTCCTTCGTAGAGTCAGACACATCTGAAGTCCTTGCCTTTGCAGTTCCCCTGGGAGGTTGTTTGCCCCTTTGCGGGAGCCCTTGGTTGCAGATTGGGGCGTCGGCATCCGTTCTTTTCCGTTTTGAACGTGGCTGTATTACTTAGAGTTGGGGAGGGGGAGGGGATGGGGCTGTAGAAGCTGGAAGCTTCTCGCTGCTTTTTGGGACATTGAGTGTTCTCTTTCCCACCGGTGGTGTGACTGGACTGTCTAGTCCAAAAGATTGTCATCAGCAGGCAGAGGTGGCTCAGGCATCTGCTCCCATCCCCCGTGCCAGCCTCACGGAAGGTTTCCAGGATTCATGAAAACCAGATTGGTCGTGTCTGCCCACTTCTGTGTTGATTTGTTTCGTCTCTGCCTCTCCCCACCTCTCCAGACTAAGATAAGCGATCATAATTAACGTCTCCCCGGGAACTGTTCTCGGTCTCCTTTCAAATGTGAGCTTTTGAAATAAAATGCACATCAGAGACCCTCTGCACACTAGTCCCCAGCAGCACCTACCAGTTATGACATCGTCAGGTGTCCCTCGTAGGGGATGTGGGACAAAGTTGCCCCCCGCCCCCGTTGAAAACCACTGCTCTGCTCTGTTCCCGATGTACAGGCTGTCACCTACCACCCTCACCAAAGGCCGCCACCCTCCTCACAGTGAGTCCCGCCTCACCCCTCGCCGTTAGGAATGCCAGGCCTCGTCATTGCTGTCCTCTCAGGAAGTTCATTGATCTCCCAACATTGTGTGTCTAAGCACTAAGCAATGAAATTTACTGGTCAGGGAGGGCCAGTGGCAGTCTGAGGCAGGTGAAGGAGAGGCTGGGGGCAGCGGGGTCCTCCCTGCAGAAAGACAGGCTGGGCACAGGCTGTCCTTGGAGCCGGGGTGTGAGTGGCAGGCAGACCGCGGGGGCCCCTGAGCTTGGACAGTGAGGCTGTCTGAGGCCCTCCTGGGCTCTTTCAAGGTCTGTTTTTTCCTGGTCTTACCCCCGCCCCCCCCCTTCGCCATCCCCCCGCAGACTCCTAGGAGCAGAGCTGACCTCAGATAGCCCAGGAGGAGTGTGTCGCAGCTTTCCCCTGGGGGGCCCCGCAGGCTTTTCTGAGCCACCGGCATCAGGAGGGAGCTGTCACTTCATTTTTCTGTTTCCCGTGAAGCCAGCCGCTTGAGATCAGTAACATCAAAATGAGCCGTCAGTCTGAACGGAGGGTTGAGACTGGCTGTCAGGCTGTGACCCTGGGGCTGCAGGCCCAGACCTTCCTTCAGCATCTTTATAGCTGGAGGCGCAGCGGGCGGTGAGCGCGGGTGGAGTCCTCACTGTACAGGACTGGAGGCCGGGGGGGTGTTGGGAAGTGAGACCAGTGGGATCAGGACCAGAGCCTGCACTCCCGGCTGCAGGACGGGAGACCAGGGTTGGCCTCTGCACAGAGAACCCCCATGTCAATGCCAGCATCCTCCCTGGCGACGCTTCATAAGGGGAGTGGCTCGCCTGGACCACCGCTTCTGCTGCTGCCTCTCCCGGCACCACTCCTTGCACTCCTGCCCCACCCCTGCCCCTCTTCATCCCCCTCCTTCTCCCCCCCTCTCTCCCCCTCCCGGTCTGGGGCTTGGCCATTGGTCTTTGGAAATCGAGGGCTTTTACCCTCTCGACTGTAGTTGAGAAGCTGGGCCTTCCGTTACCTTCTCTGCTTTTCAGTTCCTTGGTCGGGTCGCCGTCTTCTGTCTGAGAGCCTGGGCCTGGGCCTGGGCCCCGGCCTGGCTGTAAAGGGGGCCCTGGCCCAGAGGGCTCACCCAGGACATCTCTCCCCTCCCCTCCCCTCCCTCCCCTCCCGCTCCACCCCTTCCCCACACGCCCTGTCCCGGGCCTGAAGGTGCCTCTGGCTCCTCCCCAGCCAGCCCACGCCTCTCACTCACCTGGCGCCTCCAACCCTCCCACCTCACGTAGTCCCTCTCGGTGAAAGTTGTGAGCAGATGTGTCTCCTGCCTGCACTGCAGTGTAGCTTTGGAGTCGTTTTCTCATTCCTTTTGGAGAGAACAGGAGCCAGGAGGACCAAACGCTGTGGGCGGGGTGGAAGCTGAGTCCTCCAAACAATGCAGACGCTCCTGTGGCTGCCTGACCGGTGACTTTGTTCCCTCCAGTGGGGGTCAACCTGTTCTACATCTGCATCATCGTTTACCTGTACGGGGACCTGGCCATCTACGCCGCCGCCGTGCCCTTCTCCCTCATGCAGGTGTCCTGGTGAGTCCCCTCCTGTCGCCACGAGGCTGCGGGGCGGTCAGGGCAGCGTTTTCAGGGTAGAAACACACCGAGTGAGTCCGTCAGCACGACCAGCCAGCTGTGCATCCTGTCCTTCAGAGACCCACTGCACAGCTGCCGGCTGCCCTGCCCCACCGGGAAGGAGACTGGGGGTCCCCCTGGGGTTCCTGACGGTGCGCCAGGAACAGGGATACATGCCCTAAGGCCCAGGAACATGCCGTTAGTGGAAAGTCAGATTGTTGGACCAGAAGCAGCTGGGGGGAGCGGGGGCTCAGTGGTTGCCGGTGATTAACAATGTGACCTTGTGTGTGCTTCCAGCCAGGCAGGGAGGCCACTCTGAGCCACTGTTCTCTTTATCAGCAGCACCACTGGCAACGACTCCTGCGGGGTGGAGGCCGACACCAGGTACAACGACACGGCCCCCTGCTGGGGGCGCCTGCGCCGCGTGGACGTCTACCGCATCTACCTGGTGAGTGGCCGCGCCGGCCCGGGCGTGCGGCTGCCTCCAGCCTCTGGCACATACTCCCGGGAGGAAGGTCTGCGTGGCTCCACACTCCGCTCAGTCCGGGGGCCTCGATCCTGGGCAGAAAGCGGATCGCGTCACTAAGACTCTGGCCCCAGAGTGTCCTGGCGACCAGGCCTCCGTCACATGCGGTCCGGAGTTGGCATTCCGATCATTGCCAGCTCCATGGTGGCGAACGTGGCTCCGGTTTTGAGGGGCAGTCTTAGCAAAGCCCGTCGGAGTGAGTGCCAGGGCGACTTTTTCTGGAGAAGTCCATGCTTTGACCTCCCTCTTGGCCAGCCCGGGAGCATCCGGTGGACACCAGGTTTCCGGCGGGCAGGCAGGACTGAGCCGTGCTAACTGGCTCTCCAGGGGGACCCCGGAGGCTTTTCTGAGCCACCAGCCTTTCCTGCCATTGAGCTCCCCGTTTTCCCTGCTCCCGCTGCCGCGCCCCCCCGCCCCCCCGCCGACAAGGGGAGATGATGAATCTCCAGGCTCCGTCTTGATTGCTTTGTGCCACTGGCAGGGGCGGAGGGGAGGGGAAGTAATAAGATACAAAACCAGACAGTTATTTATCTCTGCCTGCTTGGCGGGCGGGACTCAGAAATGTTTCTCTTTGCCTTTTGCAGTATCTATTAATATTCTGCTTCCTCTTGGTCCTCAGCCCCAACACAAATTTAGGTGTGCTAGGTGACACACCGTTTGACACGTGGCCACTTAGCTGATTTGGAGAGAGCTGAGCAGTTCGGGGAGCTGGCCTCTTAACTTAATTATGCCTATCCTGGCGAAGGTCTGCGCAGGCCCTGCCAGCTGTGCCGTTCGGGTCTGAATTCGTTAACGCCCGGGGCTGCTGGGCGGTTGTCCTCCTTCCCCACCCCCACCCCACCCCAGAGACCTGCCGGAGGAGCCCTGTGGCCCAAACCCTGAGAGCCGAGTTTTCCCCTCTGCGTTTCTGGAGCTGGCGGGTGGTCTGTGTCTCTTCTCTCCCACGGTCGGCTCTGGCTCGGAGTTGATCTTTTATGGGAAATGTACCTGAGCTCCCCCTCCCGCAGGCCTGCTGGTAATTTGGTAGCGAACTGATCTCCTACCTCCCTTCCCCGCCTTCCCACCTTGGGGCTGGGCAGAGAAACTAGGTGGGGCAGCCAGGAGAGCCCAGGTCCGTTAGCCTCTGACAGTGAAGGATGTGATGTTAGCAAAAGTACCAGGAAGTGTAGCAGCCCATCTGGATCTCTAACCAGCACGGGCCACGCTCCGGCAGAGGGAGGGTGCAGAGCCCCTTGGGTGGGTCTTTCCCAGGAGGCCGCTGGCCTCTGTGCAGACTCCGCCTGGTACAGCCCCCTCCCCCGGCAAAGGAGATGCGGAGCCTGGGAATCTTGGCCGCTGCCGTTGGCCGGGTGAATTATTTAGAAGCATCGTTACTGTCTTCCTCGATTGTTCCTTCCCTTCTTCCTGTAAACCCTCCACATGCTGGAAGCCTCGCTCCCCGAATCTCAGTAACTCTGACCGATCAGAAGGAATCTTCAGGAAAGCAGACGGGCATTCATTACTGCCTGCGCCGCCCAGATACGGGCTTGTAGCTCCTACAGCCAATTGCCACCAGGCCGGCAAAAGCTGCCGAAACAGGACTGGGAGGGCGAGCGGACACAGCCTGTTCTCTCTGGGCTGCTGCTGCCTCCCTCCCTGTGCACTGCCGGGGCTCAGGGCTGCTCTGCAGTCCCCCTCCCCCAACCCCTTTCCCTGTACTCTTTCCCGCTTTGGAGAGATGCACAGCGGGTGGGCCATGCCTTTGTCTGCAGTCACTTCCCAGCTTTGCGTGTAGCTCCCAGGTCCCTGGCTGCTGCAGAACAGTGTCTCCCAGACCTGTCCTGGGTGCTCTGCGTCCCTTCTTCTGAGATGGGAGGAGGGGCAAAGCGAGCAGAGAGGGGGTTGGCAGGTGTGGGTTCCTTCGTGGGTCCCGGGCTCTCTGTTGCCCATGGTGATGGCATCTTCCCTCGCGGCCTCTTTGGATCATGGGGGACCGAGGTCGCCCTTCCCCTTGCCCCCAGTCACCCTCGATCAGGAGGTTGTCCTTTCCTTCCAGAGACGCCCATGCCCCTCTCTACCAGCTGGTTCTGACTTTGCTGCCAGCCAGGCTCCACCCAAGTGTCGGGCAAGGCAGCGAGCGGACTTACAGCGCCCTTCCGACCCCGGCTCAGCCCTCTGTGTCCGGGGCAGACGTGCACCTGTCTGGGCCTGCGTGTTGGAAAGGGCCTCCCGATGACCACTTCTTCATTGCTATTCCGGGACAGTGTGTTCCGGGGGATAAAGGTACAGGCTCTCATTTTGCGGTTTAATTCTCAGAGCCTGCGGTGCACATGCAGAATGAGAATATTGGGGTATTAACTCCGTGTACAGCGTCAGGACCACACACAAGGAGGGAGCGTTCTCTCCAGCAGCTCCCAGTCCCCTCTCCAAGCCTTGACCTTAACGGATGGAGCATTCCTCCTCCCCTCCCGCCCCCGGCGACCTCTGCGCATGTCCTGTGCGTGCAGTGCGGCCGACATGAGTCAGTCTCTCCCTCTCCCTCTCCCTCCTCGCATCACAGGGTGCTGGGAGGTGGGGGTCCTGTGGGTCCCGTGTGCTGCCCAGGGCGCCCCAGCAAGTGATCTAGGCCCTGTTATGAGGACCCATGAGAACTGACATCAGGGCCTACTTTCCTGCCTCGGCGTCTCAGGACCCCCGCCCCCCCTCCTGCTCCTTTGAAGGCTCAGCGAGCAAAGTGCTCTTTCATGCCCACAGCCTTGCCTCGGGCTGGGACGTCTCCAGGTGCTTTCTGCAGAGCTGCAGCTTGGTAGCAAACAAAGCCAGAATTCAGCACTTCATTCCTCCCTCGCCAGGGAGCAGGGGCCGGGGACTCTGGGGAAGTGCTGGGATGGTGCGTAAGTCAGTCCCGCCCAGGCTCGGACTGTGCTCCGTGCTCGGGAACCAGAACTAGGGTCGTAGTCCCTGAGAGTCAAGGACACGGCCAAGTGTTCCTGTTTCACTTCCTCATACCCACATGCTTCCCAGCCTGCCCTTCACCTCCTCCGCCCAGGGCCTGGGCCGGGTCACTGCCTCCTCCTCCACAGTGTCAGAGGGAAGCAGGGTGTGTGTTGGGGGCCGAGGGGGGTTCTGTCTGCTGCACTGCCTGGAGCAGAGTCTGGGGACCGGCCCCAGGTGACATTGGAAGGGTCCCCTGGCCTTCCCTGAGAGTCCGGGTTTCTCTCTCTGCCAGGAAGCGTGTCCCCCCCCCAGGCCATCTTGGGTTCTTACTTGGCGACACTTGCCACTGTCCACTTTCAACCCTCAAAACAGCGTGCAGTCTGCTCTTTCACACCAGTGGGTTTTTCCCTAGAACAGTGCCGTTTGAGGGGAACACATCCTTTGGGGCAGCAGTGCACCGGGCAGTGGTGTGCCAGCCGTGACTGGTCCTTCCTGCTGCCGTTTGTCTTGCATTGGCGTAGCACGTTGCCAGGTACCTTCTCGTTTCTGATTTGGTCCTCGGGCCACGCAGGAAGGTCCGTGACATCTTACCCCGTTTGACAGCAGGAAAAGCTGAGGCTTGGAGGCTGCGACTTCCCCCAGGGCCACGGAGCTGAGGCAGAGACTGCGGTCGGCTCCTCGGCCTCAGCCACGTCCTCTGGCCCCGGTGACACAGATGCTCAGCAAGCAGGGCAGCCCCTGCCAGGCCCAGGTAGGAGGGGGCCGGTGGCACCTGGGCCTCAGCCCTTGGCGCTTGACGTGTGTGGAGGCTGGGGCGCCGCCGCCCGGGGCAGGCTCCTGTGCAGTGATCCGCGCCCGCACATCCCGCGTGCCGCCAGATTGATTAGCTGTCGCTCCTACCGCCCCTCGCTCGGCTCCCAGATAGTGACGCGGCGGTGGACTAGCAGGCGCCTTCCCAAGGACGCGTCCCTCCCTGCCACGTCTCCCTCTGTTCCTTCAGCAGCGCCGCCGGGCCCGGGGCTGTGACATCTGCTAGGAAGTGGGTCGCCGCTGCCATCACTGACGCGTCTTCTTACCGGTCACGGGCAGGAGGTGGCCGAGAGGCTCCGGACCAGGGAGGGGGAAGGTTCGGGTGGAACAGGTTTCAGCAACGGCGGTGACTTCCCAGGAGGGGAGACTCGGGGACACTGCTGTACGCCTGCAGGGGCGGGTGCCCCCGAGCCCAGCTCCGGCAGGACACGGCAGGGAACGCACCGTGTCGGGACCGGGAGTGGAGTGAAGCCCCGTGAGCTAGAAAGGTGCCCCCACTGGAGGCTGGCAGGAACTGGCAGGACAGTGGGGGCGTCTGGTAGGGTGGCTGAGTCTGGAAGCAGCAGGATCCTATGCTCAGTGAACGCCTGGTGGCAGCTTCTCTCTCTGGCTAGCAACCACCCCCCAAATGAAACGAGCCGAGAGGAGATTCCGGGCTGCTGGGGCTGGAGGGTGTTGCCCACCGGGGCTGGGGCATCCGAGCACCCCCGTCAGAGGAGGGTGCCCGTTTGGGGACCTCCCAGGGAGGCCCACTGTGTTTCTTGCCTTTTGTTCCTTCCTCCCGCAGTGCACTCTTGTCGGCTCCTCCTCGCTCAGTTCTGGGGGCTCCGGAAGGGCGGTGTGGTCTTGCCTTTCGCTCTTCTCCCGCATGCCCGGGGGAAGGTGCTAGTCACGCCGGGCGGCCACTGCAGGTGGGGCAAGCAGAGCTGCTCTCCTGGCCACACGCCTGCCAGGCCAGCCCCGGAGCGCGGCCTGCAGGGGTGCGCAGTGTCTCCCCCAGCTCCTCTGGCCCCTGTGGGCGTGGCCTCTGGGAGGACCCCTGTCCCCCTGTACAGCCTCCTCGCCCAGTTGCTGACCCTCTGCTTTTATTTCATGACCCTGGGTCTCAAGGAAGAATGAATTCCTGCCCACACCCCAAAATGCATGCACCCACGACCCAGACAGTCCACTGATGATGAGTGAACTGGGACTTCAAC